GGTGGCATGTTTGTAATCTCAGCATTGGGGAGGCTGAGACAGGAGGAGCACTGTGGGTTTGAGGCCAGCTTGGGGTACATAGTTCAAGGCCAGCCGGAACTACTTAGTAAGAAAACACTATGCCATTTTATATAAGGAACTGTATAAGTATTTTTTGTATTCTTGGGGGTCTCCTAACCAATCCTACATGTAAAATGTTTCTATTTTATGAAAATTGGGGTGATTGTACATATTTATAACATGTTGAAGGAAAGCTAGTAAATTCTTTATTATTGGTAGCAGTATAAAAGTACAGTACTTCTGCTCCTGAGGTTGCTCCAGAGTAGAATTGTTCTGGGCTGACTCAGCTTTATTTTGCACAAAAAGATGAATCATATTTTAAGTTGTTGATAGTCCTTGGAATTTGAAAATGTTACTTGGGGGAAACTAAAGCAACAAGCACTTTGCTCGGACAGAGAGAGGGGTCTGTCTGTCTGTCTGTCTGTGTTTTACTTCTCTCTGTATCTCCATCTCCCTGTCTCTTTGTCTCTCTCTCTTTTTTTTAAATTATAGCTTAGTTAGTTAGTTTGTTTATTTATTTTTGGCAGAACTGGGGATTGAACTCAGGCCTTTGCGCTTGCCAGGCAAGCGCTTATTCTACTGAGCCATCTCCCTGACCCTCTTTGTCTCTCTTTTATCCTGGGGATTGAACCCTGACCTTTTGCACTGAGTTACATTCCCAGCACTTGTTTTTTATTTTGAGATGGTTTCACTAAGTTGCTTACGCTGAGCTTGAATTTGGTGATCCTCCAATCTTAGGTTCCCGGAGTGCTTGGCTTATATGCATGTGCCACCGTGCCTGGCTACACCCTTTGGTTTAATGACTCTTTCCAAGGATTTCTCTGTTCTTTATCTAGTTGGACTTCATATGTCACTTTACCTAAGGGACATCTTGGCTTTTATTAAAATCTAGCTTTCTGTTAGTATTTGCTTCTTTGAAAATCTTTTTTGTTTTACAGCCTAATTTTAAAGATTATCCTGTGTACTTACTGAAGTTTAAACAATGTCTTTCTAAAGCATTGCACCTCATGAAGACATATACTGTGAACACACTACAGGCACTCACAAATCAGTTACTTAAAAGGGTAAGTTAGCTGATCTCAGTAACAGCTTTATTTTTGCACAATAAAGATCACTTATTTTCTGTAATCTGTATCTACAATTAATACTTTGTAATTCCCCCAAAGTTTTGCTTTTTATTAAATATGGATACATAGTGCGGTTTTATTTGTAATAGGGGAAAGTATCCTTACTATCAAGGTCCACTTATATAATTATAATATTAAATTTTATATAATATTTAACAGTATGAGAAGCTTCTGGTAATATAAAATGAGCTAGATATGGTGGCATGTTTGTAATCTCAGCATTGGGGAGGCTGAGACAGGAGGAGCACTGTGGGTTTGAGGCCAGCTTGGGGTACATAGTTCAAGGCCAGCCAGAACTACTTAGTAAGAAGCTGTCTCAATGGGAAAAAAAGAGAGAGACAGACAGAGATACAATTATATGTCACTTAAAACATTTCTATTTTATGAAAATATTTGAAGGAAAATACCAAAGTAATAAAATGGTTCAGGCTGAGATTGAACCCAGGGCCATGCACATCTAAGAGAAGGGGATTGCCTCTTAGTTACACTCCTATCCTAAATAATCTTCTTTGCTTTTTTTTGGTCGTTTTTATGCTTTTTTATATTTAGCAAATATTTTTTATTGCACATCCCCTAAGGCTTTATATTGAAACAGGAAATCTATAGTAGCAAAAAAGGAACTAGTGAGGTCCCTACCATATGGAACTTATTATATTTGGGAGAAACAATGAGTACAGAAGGAAACGAATCCCAGCACTTGGGAGGCTGAAAACAGGAGGCTCACTACGAGTCCGATCTGTGCAGTGAGACTCTGTAGACCCTGTACTAAATACATAAAAAAGAAATAAATAAGAGGGCTGGGGAGATAGATAGCTCAGTAGAATAAGCGCCTGCCTGGCAAGTGCAGGGACCTGAGTTCAATTCCTGGTATTGCAAAAAAATAGACGAAGTAGTTACAGATTGTAATAAATGCTCCATGGAGAGTTAAGAGTTAAGTTAGATTAGAAAATAAGAGTAGCACTAGCTAGGATGGTCATTGGTTGTATTTTTTTCTGAAGAAAATAGAACCAAAATGGCTATTTTGTTGTTTTACGGTTGCTTTCTAAAAAACGTGGAATGTCTTCTTGAACTTGACTCAAAGCCAGTGATTTTTTTTTTTTTTTTTTTGTGGAACCAGGGATTGAACTCAGACCCTTGTGCTTGCCAGGGAAGCACTTATTCCACTGAGCTATCTCCCCGGCCCCAAAGCCAGTGATTTTTGAGTTGCATTTTACTGTTGACATTGCTTCTCACTGATGTAACAGCTAGACTATACAATTTTCAGAATTTTCATTAACTTTAGGAAACTAATAGAATAGAGTTACCTACTATGCTACTACTTTACCACTGAGCTTTACAAAGTCTCACTAAATGTATGTCATGGTAATTTTATGGATCCACTGAATCTCCAAGAGGGTAAGTAAGCTGGCCAGTGTCTTATACCCAGAAAGTGTCAGTATGAGTCTATATTCAGGTCTTTGTCCTGCAAGAGTTTTATATAATACAGGATAAATTTTAACTATAATGGTGGATGAGAAATGATAGTTCCTCTTAAAAGTTTATTATTTGTAGCAATAATAATATGTAATCTCTTTGAGATTTTTCTTAGCTTTGGTTGGTATAGAGGCCGAGCCATAGTCAGATACAATGGTTAGTGTTAGATTTTCTGAGTGATTTTTTTTGTTTGCTAATTATTTTCCTTCCCTGTCTTTCTCTGTGTCCCTTTAGGACCCTTCATCTGTGCCTAATGCAGACAATTCTTTCACACTATTTTATGTGAAGTTTCGAGCTGCTGCCCCCAAAGTCAGAGTAAGTCTGTTAATATAAATGGGAGGATATCGTTAGGAAATTTATGTATATATCCATTTTGAAGTACTTTGTTTATTCCAGGAAAATGAATATATGAATGAGAGATTATCCTTTCCTATTCAGCTGTGTATCTTAGAGATAGTCTTAGGTGCTCAAGTTTACAGAGGGGGGAATGCTATTTCCTGTGATGCTCAGGGAAGGTTTCTAGATAAAGGTGAGTTTTAAAAAGCTCCAACTTGTACTGTAATTTAGGGGTTTGATATTTTATACAGAGAGAACAGCATTATAGTGAAGGTTGTAGTGACATAAAAAGAAATGCATTTTAGGAGAACTATGTAATTTGTTACAGGAACACAAAATGTTAGTGGGGTGTGATGGGAAAGAACAGGAAAGATAGCAAAAGACCATCTCACAGGGAACTTATGTTTCATTAATTTAAGAAAAGTAGGGAAACAATGAAGAGAGTGATTTGGTTACATTGATCATTTCATAAATGAAAGTTGCAGTGTAAAAATGGGTTGTGATGAAGAGAAATTTGAGATAGGCCTGATAACAAGAATACTTTGTGGTGATCCAGGTAAAAACAGAGATTGAATTAAGGCATTGGTAGTTTATTCCGTGATGTTGGCTATGCATCTTATTTACTGTACTTAGTGTTTGGTACACAAAGGAATGCACTTTCATCTTGATTGGAGATTGAAAATGCAGACGGGAAATCTGATACATTTTATAACATGTGAAATCCAAATAATTGGAGCTGATGCATGGATATCCTTTTTGCTCACTGAGGTTACTAGAAAGGGTAATCTACCTTTTCTAACTCTTACTTTCTTGCTTCTGGCTACAAAGTCAGCTGCTTGGAAGGAGTTTTTGCTTTTTTTGTTTGTTTGTTTTGTTTTGGATGTAGAAGAAACTCCCTTTTATTTATAAAAAATAATAGATAAATAGTGGTTAATTGATGGTATGAGATTTATTTCATTGTGCCTAATTGTTTTTGCTTATTAGTCAAATGCCACTGATAATAATTTGATTAGAAGAATAAAGGTGTAGCTAAGAGGCTTATTGTGGTGGGTGATTATAAAGTCATTGTTATATTGGCTTTTGCACATACTAGAAGTGCCTGGTTAGTCTGTGCAGTGTGGTCCTGCCTGTGTTAGTAGTAGAAAGCATAAAATGCTTACCTAGCAGTAATTAGAACTGTGAGGATGGAGAAAATGTCAAAACTAGACAGAAATTCATGAAAGATTGTATAAATGGGAAAAACATCTCTGTGATTAGGAGACTTAATTTTTAAAATGTCAATTCTTCCCAGTGATCTTTACACTGGGAAGTACACTGGTTGTACTTCTAGCAGAAAGCCAGTAGGATTTACTTTTATGTGATCTTGAGCTTTATTTGAGAAATAAGTAAAACTATAGGAATTTTTTAAAGATACAGTGTTGATTTAATAATTCACTGATAGAGCATTGAGATGGGAAATTCTAGAACTTAACTTTTTTTTTAATGTATTTGCTACAGGATCTCACTGTGCAGTTGAGGCTCATAGTGATCCTCCTGTTTTCAGCCTCTCCAGTACTGGGATTACAGGCATGTGCCACCATGCCCAGACTCAGTCACTGGCTCAGTGCATCCTGGGGCCGGGGCTGGCACAGCATGCGGGACCGGGGATCAAACCCTGGTCCCTGTGCTTGCCAAAGCAGGTGCTTGGTCCACTGAGCTATCTTGCTGGCCCTAGATACACTTACAGAAACATTCCAAATCGAAAGAGTAGGGCTGAAGTTTTCTACAACAGTTTTGGAAAAATTTGCTGAGTTTGCTGAGTATTTAAAAAATATCATTTCATTTAATAATAATATCAAAGTACATAGTAAGTGAACTAATACATACGAAATGATAAACAGGTCCCTTAGAAAGCTAGAAAAATTATTGGAAAAGAAATTAATGGTGTAAAATAAACGTTAAATTTTTGGATTGTAAATAGCAAAACTATGACAAAAATTGGAATGTTTTCACAAGATAAAAAAGGGCCAGCCGAATAGCTCAGCGGATTAAAGCACCTACAAGCAGGTGCAGGGGCAGGGCATTGGATCCACCCCAGGGGCATGCTGATATGGCAGTTGAGACTGGGCGTGGTGGCGCACGCCTGTAATCCCAGCTCTTGGGAGGCTGTAAGCAGGCGGATCACTATGAGTCTGATCTAGTAGTGAAACCCTGGACACCCTGTAGACCCTTCCTTAAAATAAAAAAAAAAAATTCATAATAAACCATAGATAGCTAGGGGCTGGAGAGATGGCTCAGTGGTCTAAAGCACCTCCTTGGAACAAGCTTGGCAAAGCACAGGGACCGCGGTTCGATCCCCCAGCACCACATGCCAGCCAGCTGCGCCCCCTGGTGGACTGAGCTGCCCCCCCCCAATAAATAAATGTTAAAAAAAAATTAAAATAAACCATAGATGCCTATACATCAATACAAGATGAATATGTAATATAAAATAACCAGGTTACTCTCAGAAAATGTGGAAATACATGCAAATTAAGGTTAGGCAACGGGGCAAATGTTTATAATCTTAGCGTTTAGGATGTTGGGGTAGGAGGGGCTGAGTTAGAGGCCATCCTGCCTGCAGAGTGAGTTCAGGCCTAACCGAGACTACATAGGGAGATCTGTTATGAAAGAAACAAAAGTTAGGCATTGTTTTGTCGTTTGGAAATATGTAAATTATGGCTATGTCAGTTCTTTTGAGGGTTTGGCAGAGGCAGGAAATACTATTGATGTGAATGATTCCTTTCTAAAAGTTTTATTCTACTAGTTTAGAAGTCTATCCAAGTACTCTTTCTTTTGTGCCATTGTGTTGGTACTCTCCTAATGCTAGTTTAAATAGTAGGAAGTAGGGTCTCAGAGAAGTGGACCGGATGGCCTGCCTGGCTCCCCTAGCTGTGGAAGAGCAGACACTCAAACCCCTGGCTTCCCTCTGGGATCCTCACCAATGGGCTGTGATTCTTTGGGAACAGTTTAAATATCTTAATAGTAGGAGAATGATCAATAAGATGATGTGTAACATTCACATAATGTTTTATTTTTTTGTTATTTTCATTAGTTTTTATTGTTTCTTTGAGACAGGGCGTTGCTGTGTACTTCAGGTTGGCCTTGAACTGTGTAGCCCAGTTTGCCCTCAAATTCATGGTAATTCTCCTACCTCGGCCTCTAGAGTGCTGAGATTATAGGCATGCACCACTATGCCTGGCTGACATAATGTCTTAAAGAATTATAATGAGATTGATTAAATGTTTACAATGTTTACTACTTTTTTTTTTTTTTGAGCTGCTGATGGTGGTGCACACCTATAATCCCAGCACTCGGGAGGCTGAGGCATGGATTGTCAGGAGTTTGAGGCCAGCCTGGGTTACACAGTAAGTTTAAGGTCAGCCTGAACTGCAGAGCAAGACCCTGTCCCCCCAAAAACAAAAACAAGCATAATGTTTACTAGGTACTATGGTAAAGCTTTCTATACCTTTTCATCTATTATTGAACATTATTTAATAGGAAAGTATGAAATAACGTTAAGGTTATTTTGTTTAGCTTTTTGTTTTGTTTTTTGTCCAGGCTGGTCTTGACCTCTCTATGTGGCCCAGCTGGACTTGAACTTGCAGCAGTCTTCCTGCCTCAGCCTCCTGAGTGCTGGTGCTGTAGGCATGTGCCACCACACCCAACTAAATACTATTAATATTTAAAAGCAGACTATAAAGGTGAACGTGTAGTATAATTTCTGTTCTAAGAAGAAAGCTGTGGTAACTGTGTTCCAAGAAACCTGAAAATAAATATACTGAAATATTATATGTGATTATTTTTTAGTATGAAAGTTGATTATTGTTTATATTTATAGTTTTTAAGTGAGCATGTGATACTATTATAAAAAAATAATGACAAGTTAATACATTTGGCTTTTTAATGTGCCATGATTTTCTTTATTCTGCAGACCCTTATTGAACAAATAGAAGAACGATCTGAAAAGATACCTGAGTGAGTATCCAGCTTTTTAATTCCCAGATTACCTTCTTCTCATGGTGCTATTTTTTATTCCTCTCATCTTTTCTGAAGATTGCTCTTTTTGTTTTGGTTGCAGTAGTGGAGATTAAACCAGGGAGTGCCACGCTGCGTCCTTGTTCTTTCTTTTAGTTTGACATGGCAGCTCACTAAGTTGCCCAGGCTGAACTCAGATTTATGACCTTGTTGCCTCAGACACCCAAGCATATGAGATTACGGGCACCACCAGGTGTCCAGCTTGTTCTTAGCACACAACTTATTTTGGAGAGCCAGGTCTCAGCTTTGACTTAGCAAATGCCAGTTTTTTCCACAGCAGGAGTTCATTTTCATCTGGACAGACATGAGGTCTCTATTCTTAGAGGAGAAATCTTTCTTTAACAGGTAGAGCTTATGGCATCACTTCATTATGGGTTTTACTTATTTTTTGTGGTCCTAGGGAACAAACCCAGGACCTTGTGCATGCAAGGCAAGAACTCTACTGCTGAGCCACATCCCCAGTTTCTGGGTTTTGTTTTATATCTGTTACTTCTGAGCATTTAATCTGAGCAAATGAGAGGTGACCGTTATGATTTTCTAGGTTTGACCACCTATTCTGGGATTTAAGATCAGATTTAATTTACATACCTGAAATCAAAAGTTCATGCCACAATCTATTTTTATTTGCCTTTCTATTAGATATCGGCAGCTGCTCAGTGATATCCATCAATGTTACCTTTTCCAACGGGAGCTCCTTTTGGGCCCTAGTATTGCCTGTACTGTCACAGAGTTAACCAGTCAAAATAATAGAGACCATTGTGCCTTGGTAAGTTTGTATCTATCTCGGTTCAGTGTTAGACCTTCAGAACTATAGTTCTGTTTCTCCAAATCTGGTTTTGTCCTTGATGTCTTGTTATTGTAGTGCACAACTTACTTGGGGGAACAGGATCTCAGACAGATATGACCTAGCAAGCTTATGAGCTTCAGTTCCTGTATCAGTGAACTGTTTCTTTCCATTATGACAAACCTTAATTTGTTAGTCTTGTTCAACTTTGCAAAATAGTTCTCTTTATTTTTGAGGTAAGAACATTCACGAATAGTATTTCTTAAAAGATGAAGTTTCAAAGCTTGTGGATTTGAGTTGACAATTTAATTTTTGCTACAGAAGAACTTTTTTGTTTAGTGTGATTTTAATTCGTACCATAGAAAAAAAGTAAAGGTTCTTGTTTTAATACACTCCTTTTCATTCGTTCATTCTTTCATTCATTCATTCTTTTTTTTTGAGACAGGGTCTCCTTATGCAGTTTAGGCTGGCCTTGAGCTAACTTTGTAGCCCAGGCTGTAATACACTTGTAATACACTTCTTGTCAACTAGAAAAGTAATTTGTGATCATTATTAAAATTTTAGAAAATAACCTCCCTAGTGTGAGAAGCTGAAAGAGTAAATAAGATCCACAATGTACAGTGGATATTGTGAAATGGGAAGAAACTGTTCAAAAGTCAAGAGAAGCTGGGGTGGGGGAAAAAGCAAAAAAGCAGGAAAGGGAAAGAAAACAAAACAAAACAGACACACATGCACGCACACATACAAGAGGGTTATACTACTGATTTCTGTTCATTGAAAGAAAGGTTTGTGCTTACATTGTTTGGTCAGTTTTCATGATTGTATCTTGTAATCTGAGCAGGTACTTTGAGGAGAGCAATATGCAATAATTAACCACTGTTAATCTCTTATTCCCTTGTTTTGAAATTTTGTACCATTATTTCTATTGTTTTTTTCTCTTTAAAATAAAACAAAATTTAGAAAATAAAGCATTAATAAAATAGAAGTTATTTGTAATTATAATAAATATTAAGTCATGGAAAAAATATTTTCTTTTCTTTGATAAGTTATTTTATAAATACATACACATAATTTTTTTCAAATAAAGTATAGGCTTTTATAAGCACTGTAAGTGTTTAACTACAGGTATGTGTCTGTTTACCACAGGTTCGCAGTGGCTGTGCCTTCATGGTCCATGTGTGCCAGGATGAGCACCAACTTTATAATGAATTTTTCACAAAGCTGACACCAAAATTAGAGTAGGTGGCACGTGGAGCCTATCTTCTGTTGATGAGATGTAATTTGCTAATGGCCATAATGGTGCAGTATGTTACAGGAGTATTGTACAACCAACTGCTGTGCTTTAACTTTTCTGCATATGTAAACAGAATGTTGTTGGCTAGGATAGTAGGTATTAAAGCATGCAGCTTAAAGGCTAATGTGCTTTTATGTTGTCTGTAATGTAATGGAGATACTTTGATATGATAGTAATTCTGTATATATGTATATACATGTATGTACATGTAAATAGTAATTCTGTATAAGGAACCATGTCTTGAGATCTGTAGCTATTACCTCTACTAAGCACAGTATTTCCTTTTAGTTCAGAAATTTTAAGATTCGGACTAAGGAAAGGTAGTTACAAATATGGACACAATTTTGTAATTTTTTTCTTGAAAACTATCTTTCAGGGCCGGCCACATAGTTCAGTGGACTAAAGCACCTGCTTCAGCAGAGCACAGCGCCTGGGGTTCATCCCCTGTGTGCCATGCCGGCCCTGCCCCCGGGGCATGCTGAGCCAACAATTGAGACTGGGTGTGGTGGTGCGTGCCTGTGCCTGTAATCCCAGCGCTTGGGAGGCCGAAAACAGGAGGATCACTACAAGTCCGATCTGCGTAGTGAGCCCTGTAGACCCTGGCCTAAATTCATTTAAAAAAAAAAAAAAAAGATAAAAAAAAATGTCTTTCAGAGGCACTCTTAGTCATTTTTGGTTTCTTCATGTTGACCATTTAGACTTTTAAAAGAGTCTTGTAAATTAGAAAGAGCTAAATGTATATAATGGTTTCAGTTGGGATGGTCATTTTTGATGACTACTGTATACAGAAGATTACTGTTGGCAGTATGAAGAATATAGACAACCTAATTTTCTTCTTTCTAAATATTTAAATCTCTCACAGTACTTGGTAAATGTCCAAAATACTTTCAGTTTTATTTTGAACCTATCTTTCCTGGAGGAAACATGCCAGTTGATTCATAGTGAAGTAGAATATAAAACATAATCAGAAGATAATTTTGGTTTTGAAAGGACATGTATAGAATTATTGCTGAAATATAAATGTTGTGGTAGGTTGACTGTTGGTGACAGAGAATTTAAATTGCTGCAGATTACTTATAGATTCTGAGCTTTTAAAGCAAAAGCAGTTTACAGAATTACCTTTCACCTTTCACTTCTCATTTTTCCCAGATACTCTTTCCCAGTACTTAATATTTTTATTGACTAAAAGAAATCAAGGATTTATTTATTTATTTATTTATTTATTTATTTATTTTTGTGGAACCGGGGATTGAACTCAGGCCCTTGGACTTGCCAGGCAAGCACTTATTCTACTGAGCTATCTCCCCGGCCCAAGGAATCTTTTAAAGTATTAGAAATTTGGGGCTGGAGATAGCTTTGTGGTCTAAGCACCTGCCTGGCAAGCTCAAGGTCCCAGTTTGATCCTCGGAACCACATGCCTTACTGGCCCCGAAACTGGGCATGGTGGCACATTCCTGTAATCCCATTGCAGGGGAGGCTGAGACAGGAGGATAACTGAGTATGCGCTGCCTAGTGAGACCCTGTATCAAAAGAATAAAAATAAAAAAGACAAAATTCTGACATCTCTGCTGTAACCATATTTTATTCTTCAATTTTAGTGAGCTTTTGGAGAAATTGTGTATGTCGTTGTATGATGTCTTCAGGCCATTGATCATTCATGTCATTCACTTAGAGACACTATCTGAACTTTGTGGCATTCTTAAAAATGAAGTGCTTGAAGATCATGTACAGAACAATGGTAAGTAAATAGGAGTGCTCATTTAAAAGGTCTTTAAATTGTATTTGTGACTCAGTGAATTTGAAAAAAATTAGATACTTTTTATACTTCTGCACTAAAATACTTAATATTTTTTAATTGCAGAAAACAATTTAGGGGCCGGGGAGATGGCTCAGTGGAATAAGTGCTTCCCTGGCAATTGCAAGGGCCTGAGTTCAATCCCTGGTTTCGCAAAAAAAAAAAAAAAAAGAAAACAGTTTAAGTAAAAATTTGATATTTTTGAAGGTTAGGCTAACATCTTTCTCCTTTTTGAATCAAGGGGCAACTTTGACTAATGGTTCAAATAATATATAGAAAGAATTTTAAAGTTTGTAAAAATTAGTAATAAAATAGTTAGGTACTTTTTATTTTGGCCTCTAAAATCCAGAGAGAGTTGGCTATTAGTTTTAAGTCAGGGGTTGTTACTGGAGTGCTAGAATACATAAAGTAATTGAATATATTACATACTTTTGTTTAAAAGTCAGCAATTATTTAGCATACTTAATAGTTATAGTAGATCATTTATGAAATGTACAAATGAAAGTATTCCTGTGGAATAACTCTGCTTTACCTATCTGATCAATTCTTTACTATTTTGTTCAGTTATAGAAAATATGGTTTTCCTATTGATATAGTTAGGTCCTTCAAAAAAATACAAAGTTCAGTGCATTCTGGGTGGTATCAGCATCCCATACTAAATGTAATTATTATGTGCTGTAAACATTTACTCATGAAAGTTAAAAAATACTCTTAAGTCATTTTGTGGGCAGAATTTATTGTTTTCACCTTGGTTTTCATTGGTAGATACTACTACAAGTGTGTTACTCTTCAAATATTCATACTATATTTAGATGCTCTGTGATGTACATTTTCTCTCATATTACTGTTTCTGAATATAAGGTACTCTTTTAATGAGTGGCTTACGTTATAGTGTCTTCAACCCCCATCTCTTAAAAAGATGTTACTGAATTACTGACATTTAATGGCATCTTAGAAATGAATAGTACTGTAGAAACTTATATTTCATTTTTTACATTTTTTTCTTTGTGAAAGTATTAACAAGCTATTTAGTGTCTGTAGGACTCAATTTATATGTAAAATTTGGGATGATAATAAATTAGGCTGCCTTAATTATCTCTTAGGATTGATGTGGAACTGTGTGAAATAACTTTTAGAGAGCACAAAACTCTCTTAAAATGTAGATTCAGTATTTAATAGAAATAATTTTACAGGGTCCTAGGAAGGAGACATAAGGACCAATTTATTTCGCAATTTTAAATTGAAATTGAAAGACTATTTTACTTTCTTTTGCCATACTGAGGATTAACCCCAGGGCTTTACACAAGCTAGGCAATTAACTTTACTACTGAACTACATCCCCAGCCTCTGAAAAACATTTATTAAACTTTTCTGAAATAGAATGTAATCAGTCTTCGAAGCAAAGGTGTTTAAAGTAATATCTTTGCTCGTTTATAAGAAAGTAATTTCCTATGTCTAAAATGGCAGATGCTTCCATTTTTTTATTAGCTGAACAACTAGGGGCATTTGCAGCTGGAGCAAAGCAGATGTTGGAAGACGTACAAGAGCGGCTTGTGTATCGAACGCACATCTATATTCAGACAGACATCACAGGCTACAAACCGGCCCCCGGTGACCTGGCATATCCTGATAAGTTAGTCATGATGGAGGTATGGTCTTCACAGTGCATCTACTTCTTGCCCCTGTACAACCTTTGAGTATATTATACCAGCTAAAGTAGGATTTTTCTTTTTAATTCTTGCTCGGAAAGTAGAATCAAAATAAGTTTGCCATAAAAATCATAGCATATAAAAATTTTAAAAACATTGAAGAGAATATGTTGTCTTTCAGTTATAGTTTTAAAACATTCTATTTAGTTCTTGTTACTTTGCCAGAATGTATACATTCTTAATTTTAAAATTCATTTAATGGTGTGACTTTTCTTTTTTCTTTGTAAATGGCATAGGAAAGGCTTGAAGCTGGGTGTGGTGGCACTCTGGGATAGGCTGAAGTAGAGAAATGCAACTTTGAGCTTAGTCAGTTTAGTGACCTGGCAAAATCCTGCCACAAAATAGAAAAGACTTGGGATATAGATCAGTGTGGAGGCCTTGGGTTTAATCCTTAGTACTGGGGCCAGCAGGATAGCTCGGCAGACTGAAGCGCCTGTTTAGGCAAGTTTAGGCAAGCACAGGGACCATGGTTCAATCTTGGGCACCACATTGCTGTACCAGCTCTGCCCCCAGGTGCATGCCTGTAAATGCCAGTGCTGGGGAGGCTGAAAGCAGGAGGATCATCAGGAGTCCGAGCTTCATAGTGAGACCCTACAACAACCAAATAAATTAAAAAAAAAAAAAAGACAAGAAAAAGAAAAGAAAAACATTAATCCCTAGTACTGCAAACAAAACAAAATGAAACTGTGAGAGTTGGTAACACAGCAGCCACCATAGTTGATGGTATGAGCCCTGGAGGCTGTTTTCTGAAAATTACAGTAGAGATGTGTAGCTTCTGGTTTGAAGGGTTATGTTATCTCATTGATTGTTCAGTTCCATACATAACTTTATTTTCTTTGAATTTTGGAGAGAGGTTAAAAAAATTCCTGGATAGTAGAATGAGAGTACCTACAACTTCTTTTGAAATGAGATCTTACTGTGTTTCTCAGGCTAGCCTTGAACTTGAGATTTTGTCTTAGATTCCTAAGTAGCAGAAATTGTAGGTGTGTACCACCATGTTCAGCTCTAGAACCTACTGCTTTTTCAGTGAAAATTTTCAAATATAAGCAAGTTTAGTATAATGAATACTTATATACAGTTACTTCAGCCTCATAATGGCCTGTCTTGTTTACTTAGACTTTCTTACTCTCTCTTCTCCCATTAATTGTCTTAGAGCAACTTTCAAACATTAACATCTGTAAATACTTTAGTAGATAACTCTAAAAGGTAAGGATATTTTAATTTTTAACATAACTATAATTATCACACTTTAAAACATCATGATATAGCCAGTTGAATTTATTCCTTTTAGATTCACCATTGTTAATGTTTTGTCACATTTACTTTTATTTCTTTGTGTTTATTTTATTGCCAAATTGGTTGAGAGTAAGTTGAAGATATATTGATACTTCATTGCAATGTATTTTAATTTTTATTCTAAGAATAAGTTTTCCACATAGCCACAATATCATTTATTTTTACACATAATAATTTTTTTTTCTTTTTGAGGCACGGTTTCACTGTGTACCCTTGGTTGGCCTCAAATTCACAGTGATCTTCCTGACTCAGCCTGCTGAGTGCTGGGATTATAGGCATGTGCCACTATGACTGGATGCACCTAATAAAATTATCAATTGATATATATATATATATATATATATATATATTTATTTATTTTGTATTTTAGTACAGGGTCTGTAGGGTCTCACTATGTAGATCAGACTCATAGTGATTCTTCTGTGTTCAGCCTCCCAAGAGCTGGGATTACAGGCGTGTGCCACCACACCCAGTCTCAAGCACCATTTCAGTGTGTCCATGGGCGGGGTGGAAACAGCAGGCCTGGGATTGAACCCTGGCCGCTGTGTCTGCCTAACCAGGCACTTTAATCTGCTAAGCTATTTGGCTGGTCTCTTGAACAATATTTTTTAATACGGTCTTATTCAAATTTCCTGTTGTCCTTCACGTGTGTGTGTGTGTGTGTGTGTGTGTGTGTGTGTGTGTGTGTATGTGTGTGTGGTGGGATGTGGGAGAGTTCCTGGGGATTGAATTTAGGACCTCAGACTTGCCGGGCTGGTGCTAGGCTGCTGATGTCTTTTATAATTGGACCACACTTTTAAAAAGTCTAATCCATGCAAGTTTACTGTGCTACATTTAATTTTTATGTCTCTGCTCTCTGAATCAGAGACTCCTTCCTCTCTGTCTTCATTTGTTTTTCATAGCACTGATTCTTTGGAGAGACCATGCCAACTTTATTAACAATGTTGCCCTATTATAGATTTGATTGTTTCCTTTTGCTTAGATTCAGGTTTTTTTTTTTTTTTGGTAAAAATACTAAATAATTGATGTTTACTACTAGTACTACTACTACTACTTCTTTTTTTTTTTTTTTCTTCTTTTTTTTTGAGGTAGGGTCTTATTGCACAGTTTGGGCTGGGCCTTTTGTAGCCCCCAAGCTGGCCTCAAACTCCCAGAGATCCTCCTGGCTCAACCTCTCGAGTGCTGGGATTACAGATGTGCACCACCATCCCCTGTTAGATGTTCACTTCTTGAGTTCCTCAAAGACACATAATGTCGGTTTGTTCCACAAATGGTTAAGGTGATTATTAGGAAAGTATATTTGCCCCTTTGTAATTAGTAAGTCCTTAAGTGGGGTCGCACTTTGATTTTATATGAATTTCCCACCATCTTTTCAGCTATGTCATATTGCCTAATACTGCTGAAAACTATTCTTTGATTTTCTTTCTGATTTTTCTATGCAGCAAATTGCACAGAGCTTAAAAGATGACCAGAAGAAGTTACCTTCAGAAGCTTCATTTTCTGATGTCCGGTTAGAAGAAGCAGAGTCTAGTAGTCTAACAAAATCTGGTATGTTATGAGGTCTTTTCTTCCAGCATTTATTTGTTCAGTCCATACCTTTATTAAGGACTTGTGTTCCAGGCATGCAAACAGCTTCAGCCTTGGAATAACCCACATGTGAGGAGAGACTGATGAACGTCTGGTGTGACTCAGTGGTGAATGAGCTGCTGACAGGAAACACGAGGTGCTCTTGGACCATGGCAGAGCTCCTAGGGCATGGGCTCTGTGAAGGGAAGGCTCCTTGAGTATGGGGGCTGGGGTCTGTGTGAGGGGTGGCATCTGGAAGCTGGAGTGTGAAAGCTGGAGTGTGAGAGTCAGAGGCAGCCAGGTTGCTTTAGATAGCTAGAAAAGCATATAGGAAGCACATGGGAATCCTCAGAGAGCATGGCTGCTTTGGGAAATGCCGTGGCTTTGTGTGTGTGGGCCTAGGCAGAAAGGCAAGTGAGGCAGGCCAGATGGCGGTCAGCATCATGTTGTGATTTCATAGCTTTTGAACTTTGAGCTAGTAGATTGTATCAGGGTGATTATGCATTCAGATTTATATTTTATAAATGTATTGAAGGCTGGGATGGAGTCAAAACATTTTTGGCAGATCCATAGGATAGCTTGGAATTTTCATGGAACAGATTGTTTAAGAATACTCGTGGAAGTCAGCGTGGTGGTGCACACTTGTAATCCTAGCACTCAGAAGGCTGAGGCAGGAACATTGCTATGAGTGTGAGGTGAGGCCAGCCTGGACTACATAGAGAGTTTATGACAAGCCTGGACTACAAAGTAGGGCCCCATCTCAAAAACAACAAAAAGAAAACCAAAATATCACTCATATGTCATCTCGATAACAAGCTAAAGGGTAGATAAGGCATCTCTTTTCTCCCAGCTGTAAAGTGAAAGATACTACAACTCTGTTCCCCATGAGTTTTAAAGAGCCCCAGCTTCCCCAAGATCTCTGGGTTTGTAGCACCAGTAGGAATCTGAGTCACTTCTTAACAGTAGGTACCACAAATCCAGACAGGTATTTTGGAAATCAACGAATGAGAGCCCTCTAATAGGATTGAGTTTGTGATGTGGGTTTGTGGTGTAGAGTGAAGTAACCCTGGTGGAGAGGCCAGCTGGTGAAGGGACCAATTACCAATCTTTAAAAATCAAAAGCATCAACTTTCTTTTCTCTGTAGAGAAATGAGGGGAGGTTAGGCCCAGGGGGTGGTGGTGGAGAAAGCAAAGCACAGGTCTGCTGTGAGTGGCTCTGTTCTCCAGAAGGGGAAGCAGGAGACACATGGGTTTGGTGGTTTGCTCTGCAAGTAAACTTTCTTCGGTTAGCAGTGTAACTGGACAGTGGAAACATGAATGACAAGTTGACTTCTAGCTTCAAAACTTTCAAGCATTTTTTTTTTTTTATTAAATGTTGGGAGTACTTTTTTTAATTTTCCAAGGAGACATTCTGCAGATAGCAAAATTTTTAGCAAAACTGTAGATGCTTAATGTAAATATTCTTTGATATAATTTGTTTTATATTTTTCTTTAAGAGCCTTTATATAGAGACTAGATCTTAAAGTGAAGTTTTATGGAAGAGATTTTAAAAATTAAATATTGGTTGCTTTGCTTTTGATAAAATAGCTTATAAAACTTAAAGTAAAAGCAATAAATCACATTTTCCTCATGCCTTCTCATGTTTATGTCACATGACCTCTAAGCCTTCTTTTAAGCATACAAATCTAGAACTTTTTAAAAAGGACCTGTTTGTTTTGTAACTTACTGCTAGTATATCATGGATAAATTTTAGCTTTTTTATTATTGAAGGAATTTAAAATATGTAGACAAGTGAAAAGCAGAAAAAGAAAAATGAACATCTGTGCCTAACTATGTGGCTGCAGGACTTCAGTATATTACCTCTCCTGTTGCATACATGCAGTGGCGCTGTTTCATTGCTGGCACGAAATACCTTCCAAGCACCTACAGCCCAGAGGAGGAGAGGTTTACTTTGGCTCTTGATTTTTGTATATGGTCGGTTGGCTTCAGGGCATAGACTTGGTGGAAGAGTGCAGACAGCTGCCTATCCTGTGGCATCTGGGAAGCAGAAGGGAGCTGAGGGGAGAGAGAGCTTTCCAGAACACACCCCATATGCCCCACCTCTCCTGATCAGTGGCACTTCCTGACAACACAGTCACCTAATGTACTCAGCAGTAGATGAGTATAGTGCCTGTTTGACCCATTCTCTTTACTGCATCTGTGAGACTTTTGGGGAGACATTGTAGATCTAAACCATAATGAGCATACATGTGCATGTGCATACACACATTTTTATATTAATCATTTTAAATTACTGATGTCATTGACACTTCAGAATCTCTCAAAAAAAAATCTTATATAACCATAAATTGTTACTGCACTAAAATGTTAATGAAGTTTCTTGAAGTCCTTTAACACTCCACCCATACTTCAGTTTTACCTCTTGTACTGGAGATTTATACCAGCTCCATTGTTGTGGTTACTTTGCCATCTGGTCCTAGATGCCAGTGATGGTCCTTCCCTTACAAAGGTGGCTGCTTAGCGGCACTGCCTTCCTGCTGTTCCTCCCATTGCCAGAGGTCGCCTTTTGACTCTTCATGGGTGGGGGAGCCTGCTCTCTTCCCTTGCAACTGAATATGCTGAGTAAGTCTGGAAGTGATACAGCTCAGCATGGGAGGTGGCGAGTCAGCTTTGGTTAATCTTCCCATTTAAAATTGCTTTGTTTTCTTGTCACTCCCTACCTCCACTGGCTCCCATTCGCTTCCATCTGACTGCATACAGCTCTGCTTCCTCGGATCTGTAATATGTGCATGCTGTTCATTTCATAAAGATTGTTGAACCTAGTTTGGGAAAAGCAGTTTAGGTTGAGCATGTACACTAGGCTGGAGTGTACCTGTGTTCTCACTTGTGTTAAATCTCCCCTTAGCTTTCTAAGGATATTCTTTTTTTTTTAAACATTTATTTATTGTGTGTGTGTGTGTGTGTGTGTGGCCAGCTCAGCCCACCAGGGGGCGGGGCTGGCTGGCATGTGGTGCTGGGGGATCGAACCGCGGTCCCTGTGCTTTGCTTAGCTTAGCTTGTTCCAAATAGGTGCTTTAGACCACTGAGCCATCTCTCCAGCCCCTCTAAGGATATTCTTGATTAAAGATGAGACTAGAAAAAAATTGATGTCCTATTTATAGTTAACGAGCAAATACAGTTTATAGTTGCCATGTAATTTATTTTAAGATGGATATCCACATGCCTGAAGTGTACAGTCTTTTTTATTTGAATTTTAGGTTCAACAGAATCCCTTAATCCTAGACCACAAACCACAATTTCTCCAGCAGATCTTCATGGAATGTGGTACCCTACAGTTCGAAGAACTCTTGTCTGTCTCTCCAAATTATACAGATGCATAGATGTATGTGTAAATTTTTATAATTTTACTGTGAATTGCTTACTCTTTCACTTGGAATACTTTTAAAGTTTAATTTTAAGATTTTAGTATAGTATTTTACTTAATCTTAGAGTTATGGTTTTTAGGTGTGGAGATAATTTGAAGCTCAAGTTTTTTAAGGATTCCTAAACTGAGCATTCTGTAGACTCTTGGAATCCATTACAGGGATTTGGAGGGTCTCTGGACACTTTGAAATGGTGGTACGTTCTATGTATAGTTTGTATTGTACCTTTCTAAAAAGAAGGACTTGAGCTTTCATTCTTCTCAGAGGAGTGTGTGTGCCCACAAGTAAGCTTAAAACAGTTAATTTGTCTGCCTTAGTTTGTAGAGGAGAAGAGATGCACTCTGGTTTAGTGATCCAGTTGTCATCCTCCTGTAATAGCACATCTGTCCACAAATTTATTATCCCTTATTTCATTTCACGCCAAAGTTACCAAACTTGGCCAGTTAAGGCAGTCTTTCCAACTGTACAGAGAAGTGATTTAATATAGCAGTCATGTAATGGCTTTTTAAAAGATAAAAACAGCTACTTTTTAAAGGATATAATTCAAAAGGAATATGGGAGCTCTCGTACTGCATACTGGTCTTCCATACTACAGAGTTCTAGGATCCAAGGTTACAGTTGTTGCGTGCTATCAGTCAAGTCCACACTATTCTAATTTGATTTGCATAGTTCATAAGCTCTTTGAGATGAAAGTTTGGACATTTGGCATTTCCTCCTTTGCAGGTTCCTTGTTAGGTATATTAGATAGTAGCATACTAGGACTCAGAAATTTCCTGCAATAGAGCCAGAATCCCAAGGAAAGTGTGCAGGAGGCATAATCTACTTAGCACCCTTTGTTACCATAGACCTTAGTGAAGGGAGCCCCTGAGTGAGCTTTGACACCACTGTAGCAAAATAATAAGTAGGCTGAACAGGTCGTTTTGCCTGTTTTTGTTTTGTGTGTTAGGCTTGTTCTTTTTTTTTTTTTTTTGCCTAGCTGTCTTTATAAGGTTCACGTATATGGCTCTTTATTATGCTTTTGTTTAAAACAAAAAAACTGAAATGATATAAATATTCAGGGGGTTGACAAAGTACTGGTAAATTAAATTTCTAGTAAATACCAGTAACCCTTTTTCAGTCTTACTGACCCAAGGTGAGGAAAGTCAAACCCACTGAAAAACCAGTAAGACTGAGCTGGTAAGGAAGACAGTTTTGGTCTAAGCTGCCTGTTACTAACCTTCCTAGGTGAGATCAGGGGCCCAGTGGAATGTGACTCTGATCCCCCTTCAGATAGTAGCCTGGATATGGAGAAAAGCAATTCAAAAAGAAAATGTCAACAGGAGACCAGGGCCAGAACTGCAGCCTGGTAGCAAATGTCTTGCTCATTTTCACCCATGTCAGTTCCATCTCAGATGGAGTGAAGGCAGGAGGGGAGCAAGGAGACTGATGGGAGTCTCTGTCCTGTGAACTCGTTACACCTCTGGGACTATACAGAAGTGCTGGAATTAAGTCTCCTACTTCATGTAGCATTTTGTAACATTTTTTTCTATTACTTTTATTTTGTTACCTAAAATGTATAACTTCGTATATTTCACTACTTTCTTCAGCATTCTTCATATTCATGCACAGTATTTTGATTTACTAGTATTTTGTCAATTCCCTCCATCACTGAATGTATTATTTCAGTTTTTTGCTATTTTAAATAACACCATAATGAAGAGCTGTAAAAATGAACCTTAAAGTATCTTGGTAAATACTAGATTAATTACCAAGTATGGGTTAAATTTTTATAAAAAGATTTACTGAGAGTTTTACAATTAGTTTTAGAACTTTATTTTTTTAAAAATCCAAAAGTTTTAGCACTTTAAAACCCAGCCATACAACATTAAATCAGGCTGGGGTGAGTGCTCCATGAGGTCAGAACTCTGTGCCTGGAGGCCCCGTATTTGCCAACATCTCCCATGGTGCCCAGCATGCAGCCGTGCTGGTACAAATGTACCAAAGGGGCACACATGAGAGTGCAGGCATCAATATGACTTTGTGTTGGTTTAGAAAGATGGGAGGGGAGTAAAAGCTCTAGGAAGATGGCACAGTAATGAGTAATCCTGTGGTGAAGGCAAGTAAGCCAAGTTTAGCTGCTTTTTGTTTTTTTTGACTTGAAACGGGTTGATGTTTCTCTTTTATTCCACCAGAGGGCCGTGTTCCAAGGATTATCACAGGAAGCATTATCAGCCTGCATTCAGTCCTTACTTGGAGCATCAGAGTCTATCAGCAAAAACAAGGTTTGATGAAGTGTTAGGTGAAATTTCATTACTTATAATAATATTATACAATATAGTAGTTATTTATAGTACAGAAATGCCATCTTGGCAGTAAGATATTTTTTCTGATTGTATTTTGAGGCCCTTTGAGAGAAGCTAGTATTTCATTATAGTCCTTAATAAATTGCACTAAGAAAGGCAGATTACTAAAATACCAAAAATAAACTTTATAAAGTTCCTTGTCATTGCCTTATCAACTGAGGAAATGATACTGCTCTTTCCCTGGAATGCCAAGAAAGCATTTTCAAGGAAATGTAGCAATTTAATATCTCTACAAGGTTGTTTTGAGTAGTTTCGTGGCCTTGCCTGGATTAAATCAATCTGTCTGTTTTGAAAAGAAACAGTTGTTGCTCCTGGATTGTATGACTAGACATAATGGCCATGACTTCATGGTTCCAAATTTTTCATCAGGATAGGACCCAGTGGAGGGTGCTGGTACGACCTTCTCCGTGCCCCTAGGATTCTTTTTGTTTTATTTGAGCATGGTCAATAGTGTTGCGTGGCTTAATTCCCATTTAAAATGCCTGTTGCCTGTAGGAAAGGAGCTATGCAAGTTATTTTCATCCAAAATTTTATTCCTGTTTAAACTGTTCAAAGTCTATGACTTGTAGATTTATAAAATTGATTTCTAACTTAAGGGCTTTAGATACATTTTTGAAAATAAAAAGTCTTCTGTAGAAGAATTTAGCCTCTTGTTGCCAGAAAAGCTGTACCTTTCTGACCTCCCACTAATGGAACAGAGAGATAAAATTTTGATATACAGTCTAGAAGATGATAAAAAATAAAGTTATGCATAGATGGGTTTAAGTTTTAAATATATTGACAATCTAACCTTTTGCAATTGTAACAATAGCTGGAATTAAATATATATTAACATAAGGAAAGTGATTAAGTGAATTGGGGGTGTATTCCATATGGTAAAATATTTTACTACATTTTTAAAAAGTAAACAACATTTAACTTTGATAAGGTTAAAAAAAAGGATATAAGTCAGATACACAATATGACTTATGTAACAAAAATGCATTGAAGCAAATACGGGACTGTGAGAGCTTTGGGTGACATTTGCCCCATTCCCCAAACATGTCTTCATTTTCAAGATTTTTGACAGTGAAAATTAAAAAATTTTGTATGCTTAGGTAAGCCTTTTGATTATTGAGTCTTCTGCCCTGATTGTCTGTAGGCCATCTCTTAGCTAATTTTGTTTCCTACATGGTACAAGGGGTGTGAGTACATGTGGAAGCACTCAGTTTGATAAACACTAGTTTATTTAGTTTCATAGCTGAGTTTATGGTACTTTTGCCTTTCAACTTTTAAAAAGTGACTAATGAATAAGCAGGAAATAAGGAAGATGACTTAATGTCTTATAGTGCTTTTTTAGTTTAAGGGGAGAAATTATTCTAATATAGTTAAATTGAGCTGCTAAGTCTTCCACTAAATTAGCATAATGTAATCTGGGTTACAACAACTTTAATAAAATAAATCTGTGTGCAATTTTTGACATCAGAATTGCTCTTTTAAAAGTAGAGCAGGCACTAAGGTATGTGTAGCATTTTGTGCTTTTTTGATGCTCTGTATTGTAGAGTGCACAGTGGAATTTCCATTGTAAAAGTCTTACGTACATTGTTGATGTTTATTTGAAGTGAAGGGAGAGAGACTAGGGAGGGATCCTTTGTTCAAAAACCCCTTTAAAGTTTATATTGCATACTTGAACAATGACTATCTTTTTCTAAAGTAATGTAAAAATTTCATTGGAGGGGCTGAGGAGATAGCTCACAGTCTAAACACGTATCTGGCAAGTGCAAGGACCTCCAAATTTGATTCCCGGTACCTCATGGTATGCTGGTTCTGCTGTTCTGGCCTCTGAAACTGGGTGTGGTGGTGTACATCTGTAATCCCAGCACTGGGGAGGCTGAGACAGGAGGATCACTATGAGTCTAAGCTGCATAGCGAGACCCTGTACCAAATAAATAAATTTTAAAAAATTTCATTAGAGATGTTCTCAGAATAAAATAAAATCTTGAGTAGCAGCAAGAAGGAGCAAATAATAGCTTTGCATTTGTAAGTGTACAGACTGCTTATAGAAGCTATGACTGATTAGAGAATCCTCAATCACGTCTCTCATAGGTGGTAAGTTCCAAGAGGGCAAAGGACATGCTGAACTCGGTGCTGTAGATTGCCCATCCTCTGTTTATAACCCAAGATGGTGACCCTCAAACTAGTTTACATTTGGAGGTTCCTTGTGTACTTTTGCATAAATAGGAGCCTGTTTGATGTTCTGGTTATCGAAACCACCCTTTGATCAAACAGAGAATGCTGTCTTTCTTAATAGAAAGTAATAGGCCGTGAAAAGGCCAAGTTATGTTCACTATTTGGAGCTTTTGTGTGCCTTCTGCTCAATAGAGCAGACTGAGGCATCTTTTCTACCACTGCAGTAAGTTAAAATAGGTTTGACTTTCCTTCGTGGAGAATTTTTGTCCGATGTCCTTTTTTGGATTTTCTAAGTAGAGCAAGTAATAGTTAAACATCTAACATGAGTGATATGGGGGAGGGAGCTCACTGCACAGCAGGAGTATAAATTTAGGTAGATTAATGTTGATTATTAATGCATGTTTTATATGCTGCTGTTTTGGTTTAATCTATGATATCATTTTTCTGTTTTACAATTTAGACTCAGATTGATGGACAGCTTTTCTTAATTAAGCACCTTTTGATTCTTCGTGAACAAATTGCTCCATTTCACACTGAATTCACCATTAAGGAAATTTCCCTGGACCTCAAGAAAACTAGAGGTATTTTGTTGTCCTGGCTGGCACAGTTGGGTGTGTTTGACCTGTCCAAGTGTGTCAGCACAGGTCGTAGGTTTATTTTATGTTCATCTGCAATTTTTTTGCATGCTTTGCTTACTAAATATGTTACTTGTTTATGCTAAGCTGAGTTGTCAGTACACTAATTATTTCTAACTTGCTATGTTTTCCTTATGAAGCAAACTGGATTGCTGTTGTTGTTTTGAGAAAGGGTCTCACTGTATTGTTCATGCTGGCCTTGAACTCATTATATAGCCTTGGTTGACCTTGTACTCCTGTTAATCATTCTATCTCAGCTTCCTGAGTGCTGGGGAAGAGAACTGTACTGTATTTCCTTCCCATTTTAATTTGTAATATAGTATTAACTCTCTTACATTCTACCACATGTCACCATAACCAGTTAGAAAATGAAAAATCAGTATAATAGCTACTTAGTACTAAATAGTGTATGTCAGCTAATTGGTATGACTTTAAATATTGATTTGAATTTATCAATTTATGAATATTTGGGAAGCCAGAGTAAAAATGGGAGGAGTACTTACCTAAGATCTGAGAGTTGGGTTTTCTATACCACTCTTTCCTCACTCTTACAAGATTTTAATGGGTGTTAGTTACAGCTTCCCTATCAACCTTAATGCATGATTTAAATTCACTATTAAAGTTGTAAAATGCAGTATTGAAGTTGTTGGGATGTGTTTGTGGTTATCAAGATCATTAGGAGTGAAAATACATGTTAAAATGCTTTACTTTATAAATTTAATTTGCTTAAATGAATTTAAGTTGCATTCATGTTAAATCATCTGGTTAACTAATCATGTAGATAGGGTCTTTGAATTGGTAATAAATACTGACTCATCTTGGAAAAGATAATTAAACAATTCTAATGATTTGTCCCTGAAATAAGAGATTTTTTTTGGGGGGGGGGATACTGGAGATTAAATTTATGACCTTTTGCTTGCCAGGCAGGTACTTATGCTGCTGAGCTATCTCCCCAGCCCTGAGATTGTTTTTTTTTTTTTTTCTTTTTTCCTTGAGATTATTTTTAAGAGATCAAAGTAATTACTTTTTAAGCGCTTGATTGCAAGCAGTTAAGGATCTATGAAAATATTGCTTATTTGCCTTACTTGTAAATTTTTGTAAACTTTTATCTTTCCCTAGTTACTTCCAAGAGATTTAAGCTCTTATGCTTTAAGCCATCTGTTGATGTAATGAATTAATTTCTCTCTTACTTATTGCAGTAGTTGAGAAAAGTTGCTGAAGTTATTTTATGTGTTCTGTGATTCAGAGCAATGCCAAAGCAGAATTTCCAAAGACAGCAGGTTTTTAGTTTCTTCACCACTGCTCGTCTGTCAGAGAGGGCTTGCTTTGCCTGGGAGACTCTCAGTGGCCTTCTTAGAGTCATTTTACCTGGTTCTTTTTCCCCCTAATGCTCACTTGTGTTCACTTAAAATACTTTCTGATGCTTTAAAGCTTGTGTATATTGTGTACTTTTACAGAATTCTTTCTTCTGTTTTTTTCTTTTGGATGGTACTGAAGATTAAACCCAGAAGCTTTGCACTGGGCTGAATTCCCTGCTTTTTAAAATTTTTATTGTGAGACAGAGTCTTAAGTTGCCCAGCCTGGCCCTGGGTTTGTGTTCCTCCTGCTTCAGCCACCTGAGCTGCTAAAGAAAGCATGATTTTTTTTTTTTTTTTAAATTTTTGGCCAGCTTAGTCCACCTTGCGGGTGGGGCTGGCATTGCACGTGGTGCCAGGGATCGAACTGCAGTCCCTGCGCTTGCCTAAGCAGGTGCTTTAGATCGCTGAGTTGTTTCACTGACCCCAGAAAGCACAATTTTTAAAGAGCATAATCTCATAAGAGTTGCGCTCTCTTGGCTTTTCTCCTTAATTTCTTTCTTTTCTTTCAATGTGAGGTGTAGGAACAGTGCTGTGTCTTGTTCTGGACTGCTCGTAGTCCTTTATCTAAGTGATAGGATTGAGCAGTTGATTTACTTTCACGTTTTTCTGATAAGTTATTGCCACTTAGTTCTATTATGGATGGCGTGAGAGGTGAGCAAATGAAAAAATGAAATAGCATAAGATTTTGGCAAGTTTTGTTTTATAGTGTATTTTCTCCCAAATATTATGAAGCTTATGTAACCCTTCCAAATGATGATTTGATTAATTTTGTTGCAGACAGACAGAATCTTTCAGGCATTTCATAGAAAAGAGATAGCGGACACAGTTTCACTAGAGCTTTATTTGAACATTGAGTCTGATAGAGACTCTTTTTCATTAACACTGGAGCCAAGGTGGTAGCATTGTAGTGTGTATGTGCAAAACCAGGGTTGGAAACCTTTCATGCTTTGCTTCTCCCATCTGACAAAACAAAGCAAAGCAATGATCTTTTTGAACTCTCACCTAATACTTGCTATTTTCACTTTTAAGCCTTTTAACCTCTTACAACTAACATTTTATCTTATTGCATTTGAACATCAATGAAACCTCAGTCCTTTGTGTAGATTCTAGTCTGGAGGTTAAGGGGTAAATATGTCCTCTTGGTGTTTTCTTCCTGGCTGACACATTAGTTTATTCATGCTGCATTAAGTGAATAAATTTTTATGCCAGCTAGGACCTTAACAAAGAAGCAGGGTAAGTATGTAAATATTTTCTTAAAATCTGCTTGACATCCTAAAAGTAAAGTACTGATTTTTAATTTTTTTTTTTTTTCAGTAAGTGGATTGTTGAGATTAATAGTAATTTTGTAGTTCTGACCCTGGAAGGTAACTGTGCTGTAGCTGTCACAGGCACTCGTCTCACCCTCAGCCATCTGTGAAGCTGATCTGGTAGAGATGCGTGTCTTTTGGCCTTGTGGCAGAAGCCAGCTAGATTTCTCTGTTGCAGCTGTACATGTTCACTGGATGAGTGATTTTGTTTCACAGATGCAGCATTTAAAATCCTGAACCCCATGACCGTTCCAAGATTTTTTAGGCTGAATAGCAACAATGCCTTGATAGAGTTCTTGTTGGAGGTAGGAGTCTCTTTCATTGGTGGTGGGATCTAAATGACATTCTTTACATGTCTGGTAATTTCTAGGCACATAAAAACAGGAGGAAATTGTCATCTTCTCTTTAAGGGTACTCCTGAGATAAGAGAACATTATCTTGACTCTAAAAAAGATGTAGACCGGCATCTGAAATCAGCCTGTGAGCAGTTTATTCAGCAGCAGAGCAAGCTGTTTGTAGAGCAGCTGGAGGAGTTCATGACAAAGGTATAGACCTCGATGCCTACTGGGTAATGTCATTCTGCATTTTCCCCTGGCTTTCTTTTTGAATTACTTGCTAGTGAAACCTTGAGCAGAAGGAGATAGGAAGTCATATCTCAATGATTCTAAGAAATCACTGAGTTTCTTATCACAGAAGCTTTTGTTTTGCAGAGGTTTAGATATGCTTGCGGAGTTTTCAATTTTCAAGAGGAAGAGCACAAATATTGCAGAGCTAGCTATAACTGACCTCTGGTTAACTATGTGTTGTTATCCATGTTGTAAGTTCCTGCATGTGGGCTGATGTCTCTCGCTCACTGTCTCCTGGACCTGCACAGTACCAGCCATTCTTGTGTATCAGGAAGGTGACTGTGCCTGGAGAACATGTTCAGGTTATTAGAAGATGGAGTTTTGAGCTTGAAAACAGATGTGATTCTGACTCACTCTTACTTTCTCTTTATTGGTCCTTTCTTTTCTTTTTGTTTTTTTTTTTTTGGCGGTACTGGGGATTGAACTCGACCCTGTGCTTGCCAGGCAAGTGCTTATTCTACTGAGCTATCTCCCAGGCCCTATTGGTCCTTTGTTTATTTGTTCCCTTTGTGGGCTCCCTGTGGAGATGCTTCACTTCTCTTAATTCTTACCACATTCCTTCCCTCAGACAAATGCATCTTCATTTCACAGACTGAGAAGTGGGAGGTGAAAGTTTCGCAGACTGATTAAGTACATGAGATAACATTTTTACATCTTTATTATTTGGTTCCTTTGTGATTTTTGATACAATTAATAGTTTTTCCTGAAAACCAATAAAATTAGAATAATGATGTGCTCTGTTGTGTCGTTTCCTGCCCTTGGCAAAAGAGTCTTTCACAACTATTTGAATAACTTGAGGGAATGTAGTCCTATTTTGAGTGTTGGGATAGTGTTTGTGAAAATGTTCAGATTATTTTCCTTGAAACTTCAAAAACTGTTGATGTTGTTTTAGAATTAATATCCTACTGGATATTACTTATACTCTTAAAGTAGGGCTTGCCATAGTAATAGAAGGAACTTAGAGCTTGGAGTCAGGGAAATGTGGTCATAGACCCCTTCTGACACTTCCTCATTGACAGAAAGCCAGTCATCTGTCCAGAGCCTTGGTGGGGTAGCAATAGCATCTCTCCCTCCCCATCTGAGGTTGTGATGAGGTTCAGTTAGTATTATATGTGTATTTCTTTTTTTTATGGAACTGGGGATTGAACTCAGGCTCTTGCGCTTGCCAGTCAAGAGCTATCTCCCCACCCCCCTGTATTATATGTGTAAAAGCTTTAATTGTAAAATGCTGCAGAAATGTTATAGTAAAATAGACAAATTTGAGGTGAAGATTTTGCTTTAGCAAAAAGTTTAAATAAAACATTTTAAAGGAAGTATTATTTGTTTTCTAATTAAGTTAAAAGTTAACTCTTGTGTGACCAGTTTCTGCTAAAAACTCAGACTTAATGTAAAGTATTCTCATTTTCCTTTAGGCAGTTAGGTAATGAATGTATGGCAAATTTATATTTTTAATAGTTCCTCTGAAATGTTACTAATTTTCCTTAGTAATACTATAAATTTTTGTTGATGTAGTACCCATGATAGAATTTGACCTATAAATTTAATTTCTGCTCTCTCTGAGTTATAGTCTATTGGGAAATCAAGATGGGAAGGTAATGTAAACATTCAAGAGTACAGAGTAGTGCCATCCAAAAACACTGGGTCTTTGTTCGTCCCTGAAACTTTAAAAAAGATGGGACTAACTGGGGAAAGCTTTTCCCCCCCAAGAACCAGCCATTTCTTCCTTGTCTTTCTCTGGCTCTCTTTTTTAGAGAGATTATCTTTACAAATCTGGGAAAACTATGAAGAAATGTTCCTTGAGGTTTGATTTAAAGATTACCTTAATAAAAAGACAGATGAACATGCAAAGCTGTATGTTTTGAAAATAAACTTTCAATATGTGTCATCATGAAATTTGTTAAATTCTGGAACAATATTAGGTAACTATTAAACTGACAGGCCCAGCAAAATATTCAGAATATAAAATGGGAAAAAAGTTTGCAGAACAGTGTATTGTTATTTTTATAAATATACATACATGAGTATATTGAGTTTTTACACTGGAAACCATTTGGGATAATACAAAGTGTGAACATACCTTTCTCTTAGCAATTTTGTAATTAATCTCTTCACATGTGTATTTTCTTTTCTATTTTCTTTTTTATTTTTTGGTGGAACTGGGGGTTGAACTCAGGACCTTTTGCTTGCCAGGCAAGCATTTTTTCTACTGAGCTATCTCCTTAGCCTCTATTTTCTTTTTTTAATCTGCATCTCATAAAGAAAAATAAACATAGGCCAGGCATAGTGGTATACACCCATAACCCCAGCACTCAGGAGACTGAAGCAGGAGAATTACTGCAAGTTTGAGGCCAGCTTGGGTTACATTGTGTGTTCAAAGCTAGTCTCAACTATATAATGAGACCCAGTCTCAAAAAAGTTTTCTTTAATTATAAGTGACCCGTGTTAAAGTTGGAAAGCAGCATTTTGCTCTTGGTGAAAGAGTTCCATGGAGAGATTCTGGTTCTATATCCATGAAAGTTGGTTGTCAACAGACACCTGATAATGGACTCAACTTTTTAAGGTGTGACTGATTTTTCCATTAAAAAAAAAAGGTATAAGCAAGAATTGAATGAAAGTAGGAAAGTACCATGAAATCACAAAAGAAGCTTTGCTTAAAAATTTGCTGTAAATGATTACAAGCAATGCATTTTTATTAGAGTTGCATATTAGATTATCAATGTGTTTTAATAGGTTTAAATTGTGTCGAGTATACTTTAAGAACAGTACAGTTCGTCATTGGTGACATGAAGCTTTTGTTTTGGTTTCCTTTTCTAGGTTTCAGCGCTAAAAACAATGGCCAGCCAGGGAGGCCCCAAGTATACCCTCTCCCAGCAGCCTTGGGCACAACCAGGTATTCAGATTTTACTATGGGAATTCCTTTTTTAGGCTATTATTAATTTCCATTTATATTCCTTTACTGTGGCAGCTTGGAGTTGGTTCCCTATTCACTCTGAGTTAATGCAAGATTCAGTTTGGAGCTGATAGTTCTTAAGCGGCTAACAAGAAAGAAAGAATATTAAAAAATTTATCCAGTTAAAAATGTGGCCCGAATGGAGACTGATTTCTATATGTCTACTATTCTTTGGTTAGATAGAACTTTGATGGAAATAATTTTTGTGACAGAATGAAGTTATGGAGAGTTATTTTCAAGTACATCTATAAATGTGGAGCCACTGTTTTGTTCCATATTTTCTTCACGTTACATCCTCTTTTGATATTTTAGAGTACTTGAAAAAAATGTGAAAATTAAGGTATCAGTTGGGAGTTGGCAGGCAGGCAGTATCATTGCCTGGTTTACAGATACATCTGAAAAGTTCAGTGTTTTTCTTTCTTTTCTTTTCTTTTCTTTTCTTTTCTTTTCTTTTCTTTTCTTTTCTTTCTTTCTTTCTTTCTTTCTTTCTTTCTTTCTTTCTTTCTTTCTTTCTTTCATGTGTGTGTGGCCAGCTCAGCCCACCAGGGGGCAGGGCTGGCTGGCATGTGGTGCTGGGGGATTGAACCGCGGTCCCTTTGTTTTTGCTAAGCTTGTTCTAAGTAGGTGCTTTAGACTACTGAGCCATCTCACCAGCCCCCATCAGTGTTTTCTTGTCTTCATTTTTTTGTTGTTGTTGTTTTATGCTGGAGAGTAGTTTGGTTTCTGTTTGGGTAAGAGAGAATTTTTTAAAATTTTTTTTGTATGTGTGTTTGGGATTGACCTCAGGGCCTTTGTCACCATAGACAAATGCTCTCTTGCTGAGATGAAGCCCCAGAATGGTGAGGGAATTCTTTAATATCAGATAGTCATACCTATGTTATTTCTTGTACATTGTATGGCATTTTGAGTAGGCATTAACCAGAACAAATCAGTTTATTACATTGGTGTTTCTGGCCATTCCTGACTCATATTTTGAAACTAAAAAGGCTGAGTCATGAAAGGACAGTGTTTTTATTATGAGTGATCTGTGTCAAAGTTGGAAAGCAGCATTTTGCTCTTGGTGAAAGAGTTCCAAGGAGAGATTCTGGTTCTCTATTCATGAAAATTGGTTGTCTACAGATATCTGATATGAACTCAACTTTTAAAGATATGACTGATTTTTCCATAAGAATGTTATACGTGTCAGGTGTTCATTTTCTTTGGGAAAAGAGATTGAAGCCATTTTAAACCTCCAGGGTTTTCAGTTACTATGAATACCTTAGGTTAATTTTAAGTTGGGCCAAGAAGTTCATAGTAGCTGTGTGTTTCTTAGGAAGATGTATAGTTGTAGAGCATTATTGGTTGTCTTCAAAAGAAAGGTTTGCATTTCAGAGGTTCCTTGTATGCATATTGAGGATGTCAGTACTTGTTTGCATTGATTTTTTTTCATTGCAAATTAACTTTGTGACGTTATTTACTATAATGGAGACAGTGGTGTTCTACTGTTATTTGTTATTTTAAACACCAGTATTGTATATTAGATTGAAATCTTTAAGACCTTTAAAAAGCAGCATATGTGCTGCAGTTGTACATCCTGTTATGAGACAGAAGTCAGAATCTTTTACTGACAAGACTGGACATTCTACTTCTGGTCTGAGTTAGTGCCAACTCCCTGTTCTGATTTCTCACAGTCAAGAAGCAGACTTACTAGTCCTGAGCACATCTTGACCCTTGGAGCAATATTAATCTTTGGATTAATTGCAGCCTTTGGTTTTATGGTTTCAATTGCTTGTAAGGCTTATTTAGAAATAAGAGCTGATTTGTAATTTGAATGTTTATGTAAATGAAACTTAGATGCAATGAATCTCTTTTAAAAAAGGTAAAAATAGCAGATAGGCATAGGCATATTTAGTATAGGTAAGCCCAGAGTCTTGATGCATAATTAACATATTGTTCTTTCCATTTTAGAAAGATCAAAGTAGGGGCTATTATTTTCTCAAGTGGAATCCTAATAGAATTCACAGTATTACATGTATTGTGCTCTTAAGCATTGTTAGAATGTCATTAGTAAAGCGGGAATAGATAAAAGAAGTTGACAAAAAGGGCTGATTGAAATAGGGCTTGCTATTTTGTTCTTTAACCCATTTGGTATTTTTCTAAATGAGGCAGTCTTACTGAGTGTAGCAGTTATTGTGTAGTCTTTTTTTGGGGAGACAGGGTTTTACTACATAGTTTAGGCTGGCCTCAAACTTGTGATCCTCCTGCCTCAGCCTCCCAAGTGCTAGGGTTACAGGCATGCCCCATCATGCCCAAGAGAGGATTCACTCTGTGGTTGTTGTCTTCTGTGCCTTTAGTCCTGCAGGAGATGTAACTGGTTTTTCTTGGTCTGGAATACATGAAGCCCACACTTCAGTGTTAAAAGAGATTTATGGGCTGAAAGTACCTAGAAACTATCATGAGCCCCTCCACTTTAGATTAGAAATCCAGGGTTACCGTCTGTACAGAGCTCGTTGGAAATCCAGGGTTACAGTCCGTACAGAGCTCGTCAGGTTGTGGGAGATCACATCATGATAAACTCACAGGACAGTAAGTTATAAATCAGGATGCTTGTTTGTTAATTTGCTCTAGGATAGGGTTTTATGGGGGGATTCAGTGGCTCTGAAAAACTGATTATAGTGATCCGTGAAGTGTGTTGGTGGTGACAGAACTGGATCCCATAGAGTAAGCATCCAGAAGGAACTTTCATCTATATAATGAAAAACAAACCATTCTGGAGTCTCTCTGTCTGTCTGTCTGTCTGTCTGTCTGTCTGTCTGTCTGTCTGTCTGTCTCTGAACATTGGTACCTTCTTGCTTTGTTTTACAACCCTTCTCAAAAGAAAGTGTCTTTTACTATGTAAAAAGGAAACCACTGCTATGGTTTCTCTACCCGGATTATTTATGTTTATGTATACACAAGTTTATCTGGACTTCAGAAACTGTTACCCAGATGAGGCTAGGCTACAGCCTGTACCCTTGCTGTTTTCACTTCCTGTGTGTCTTGCAGTCCTGCACCAGCATGTGCAGCTCAGGCCACCATGTGATAAATGCATAGGACGCTCCCCATAACGTGGTTTCTTTAGTAATGCTGTGAAGGGATAGGTAAATTATTTTTAGTTTATGATTCTCTATAGTCAATAGAAGTCCTGAGGCTGGGGAAGATAGCTTGGTGGTCTAAGCGCCCGCCTGGCAAGTTCAAGGACCCAGGTTTGATCCCCATTACCACATGCTGTGCCAGAGATCCTTAACTAACTAACTAACTAACTAACTAACTAACTAACTAAATAAATAAAGGAATGAATGAATAGAAAGTCCTTATGTAGTCCCTGAATATATTGGTAGTTTGTGAGTTTTATTAATACAATAATTTTTTAGTAGTTGAAATGTTAAGTGAAAGAATATGTGTATTTTTAGTTTTGCTAGATAATGCCTAATATCCCTCAAAAGAAGTTGAACTGTTTTCTACTCCCATCAGGCTATGGTTGTCCCTTAGTCTCTGTTTGGGGTTGGTTCCAGGACTCCCCACAGATAACCAAAACCCACAAATACTTAAGTCTTGTATATAAGGTGATACATACTTTAGATCCTCTCTAGATTACTAGATTATTTATAATATCTAGTACAATATAAATGCTGTGTTAATATAGGCAGTATATTATTTAAGGAATAACAAAATGAAAAGTCCATACAGTATGTTCAGGGCAGACACAACTTTGTTTTTGTTTTTGTTTTTGTTTTCTGAATATTTTTGATTTGCATTTGGTTGAATCCATGAATGTGGACCCTGTGGATCTGAAGAACCAAATACCCACTGCCCTGCGTCCTTGTCAGGCACAGATAGCCAGTCTTTTTGGCACCTGTAAATATTTCACTGCTTTCATTTACATTAATTTTGAGTGACATTGAGCATCTTTGAGATTCTGACTATTTCTTCGTAACTCTCTAATTTCTTATCTTAAATACTTAAAACAGATGACTGCTCTTCCTTTGTACACCTTTCAGACACTGCATTGGGGTTTCATAGTTCTTTTTTTTTTTAAAGCTCTGGAATTCTATTCTCTGATGCTGTTGGGTAAAAAGGTAACAGATATTTAGTTCAATTTGTGTGGATGTCTTCCAGAAGGTCTAAGCTAGGTGCTTATTTATTATGAAGTAATTCTTGTGTCTCTAAAAATCACTTTGTAAAACTCTCTTTTACATCTAAAGTCTAACAATGCATATTGCAGCCACAGGAAATGTGTTGAAGTATGCCCAAGGAATTCTTTTATTGTCTTAGTCTTTGGCAATAGAGTTTGTCTATAGTGGTTATTTACTGATTATAGGGCTTATAATTAAAGTTGATAAGAAAATAAAATATTTTTCTATTTCTTTATTCCCCTCTTCATTAAAATGGAAATGTTTCTTGTTCTATGTGGCAATATTTTCTTTGCAGCAAAGGTTAGTGACCTTGTGGCAGCAGCATATAAGACAATGAAAACAAAGCTGCCCCTGACATTGAGAAGCATGTCGCTGTACCTGTCCAATAAAGATACAGAGTTCATCTTATTTAAACCTGTTAGGGTGAGTAGCATAGTAATAATTTATTTGAATGTTGGCCAGTGCACTCCAATGTTCTTTTCTGATCTACCATTTTTCTCTTGCTATAGATACTTAAAAGTATTTGTATTCTATTCTAGTGAAGTTGGTTAATAATCACCACGATTCTCTCTCTCTCTGTCTCTGTCTCTCTCTGTCTGTCTCTCTCTGTCTCTGTCTGTCTCTCTCTGTCTCTGTCTCTGTCTCTCTCTCTCTCTCCCTCTCTCTCTCCTAATCATACTGGCACTTTTATTAGTGGGTCTCACTACCAGGTCTGCATTATTGATGTTATATACAAAAGATTCACATAATATTTGTGTTTCTATGAGGAGTTGGTAGCAACTATAATGGCTGCAAAACTAACTAATGTGTTTCTTCTATTATTACTCATTCTGTAGACATTGATAAAATATGAACATCAGTAGCTGGTAACAGTTTTACTTTCCTTTAAGCAAAATTGCTAATATGGAATTCTTAAATAGATATCCAGTATTAAGATGAAGCGAACCCTGTTTTAAGTTTCTGAATAATGGACTGATTCTGAAACATAAAGTCCAGTAACCAAGTAAATCAATTGCTGATTAACAAAGACCCTCAACACCTAATGTCTCAAAAAGACTTAAAGACATCTCTGTAGCTTCGTCCTTTAATCAGTCTAATTAGTCGTAGAGATAGAGTATCTATCCCAGTGTATCTTCCCCCACACATCCTCACTTTATCTTAAGTTTTTATTTTATTTTTTCATCTTTTAAAAGACTATTCTTTATAGTGAAGGACTTTACATTAACTTTTATATTCTCAGCAAGGTGTCTGTCCTCCAAATTAGTTTTTATGTTCCAGGAAATACAAACTCATAATATGTTTTGTGATCACTTTGCGGCCTATTTATGTACCTGTAGTCCACTAAATGTAACTCCATAGAATGTGTTCGTGCTTATGTCAAGAATTTATTATTTCTTTTTTTACTTTTTTTTTTTTTTTGTGGAACTGGGGATTGAACTCAAATCCTTGCACTTGCCAGGGAAGTGCTTATTCTGCTGAGCCATCTCCCCGGCTCTACAAGAATTTATTATTTATCGATAAAATATAATTTTCTTCTCCACTGGTCCTAATTAAGTTTTTAATCTTAACTTTTAAATTAGAAATGAGTAAACAAAATCTCAGATCCTCATATTGTGTGTGGTTCAGCCCTTGAGAGAGCAGCATTTCAGGAATTAAGCTTCATTTTACTAGGGAGTAGTAGAAACAAATGACTGTCAACAGCCACTGAGGGATTAAGTGTCACAGCAAATGAAGAACTTGAAGAATTTGTAGCTTCAAGTTCTGTGTTGAGCTCACATCTTTTATGCAAGGTATTGGCTGATTTTTAAAGTACATTTTTTTGTTTTGGAACTTTATTATCTTTTGTGTAAGAAATTGCTGAAGACTAGTATTACCTGAGAGGACTGAGTTTTCTAAAATTAGCTTTTCAAGGAAATATTATTTGATAAGTCTTCATCAAGTTATACTAGCATATGAAACATTAGGTTCTAATTATATCTTTGGTAATCTCATGAAAAACACATTTCTTCTACTTGTTTTTAGTGAAAACTACAGTGATGTAATATTGTTAGTGCTTCAGGTTTAAGATGTCTGTGTTTCTTATGGTACATCTGATATGACATCCTCTTTTTTTTTAAGAATAATATTCAGCAAGTTTTTCAGAAGCTTCATGCTCTGTTAAAGGAAGAGTTCAGCCCTGAAGACATCCAGATCATTGCTTGTCCTTCCATGGAACAGGTAATCCCCACACTGAACTTTATGTCCCCTGGGTTATTCTACTTGAATAGATAACATGTTGGAGGAAACTTGGTTGTAGTTTTAATATTTATAACTGTATATTGTCTATCCTGATGAGGAAGAATTCAAACTTGGACTTGTTTTTGAGGGACAGTTTTAAAGCTTTTACATTTTAACCCTAATAGTGAGAAATGCTGTGTTTAAAATAATGACCTATTTGTGAAAGACTTAAATACTGGTGTTTATTTAGCTTGCTGGATCATTTTGACTGAAAAATGCACACTTAAATGAAAAAATGGAGTTTATCTTAAAGATTAGAATAGATGCTAGAAGTGCTTTTTCTTTTCTTCCTAAATCTAAAAAACTGAATATAGGGCTAATTCATGTTACCTGTCACTCATTCAGTCTAGTCAGCAAATCTGTAGTATGCCCTTTATGTATTAGGAGTAGCTGGTGCTTTGGAGAATAGTTTTCTTCTGGTCTTAACTTTGGTGTGGTTTAGGCATTTAGTATATGGTAAGGACTGGAGAATGGTGAAAATTTGGTGAAAGCCTGGTTGAAGTGAGTAGAGGCTGTGGAGAAGGGAGCTGGGGAAGTTTTGTTATAATAAGAAGAAACCTGAAGGGGGAAATGGGGCCTTTTTAAAAAGGTTCAGTGGTTTTTAATGTATTCATGAACTTGTGCAATCATCACCATTATCTGAAGCCAGACATTTTCATTACTCTTTAGCTGTTAGCAGATTTTCTATTCTACTTTTTCCTACAAGTTGTCTCTATTGCTTATTCTGGATATTTCATTAAATGAAATCATACAACATATAATCTTCCATAACTAGCTTCTTTCATTTTAAGTATTTCCAGGCCTCTTCCATATTGCAGCGTATGTCAAAACTTCCTTTTTTTTAATGGCTCTGTATGTCTTTGTGTGGAGAGATGGGGATCATATTTTTAAAAGATAACCCCGTGGTTGTAGGCGTGTACAGTCAAAACACTTTATAAGTCGTTTTAAGTGACTTTCCTGGGTGATTGTGACACCAGCTTGCTGTGTAGTTAGGTTTGTTGTCAGGGTTTCAGGATTTAATTTTGCTTTGTAGTTATGTGAAATGTTTATGTGACTTTCAAGTTAGAATTACAGAACAAGGTAAATTTACGGAAGTCTTTCTTTCACTTTCTAGCCCTTTCCAGCCTTTTCCCTCCCTCCCCTATAGATGGGGTTTTTTTCTTTATTATTCCCTGGATTATCCTTCTATTGCTTTAGTTGTTTTTTCAATGATTGGGAGTCACATGTTTGCATGTTCTTGGAAAGCTCCAATGAGTGGGGAAGTGTCATGAGAGGCAGACGTGGGGTGGAGTCTTGGGAGCAGTCAGGTGGATGCTTTCTGGTCTGCCGCGGAGAGGAGATGTCTGAGAGTGTGAGCACAGAAGCGGGAGGTGGTGGGCGTGAGGGAGGTTATGGGATCCTAGTCCAAGAAGTAAGTCGCAGTCTCACCAAAGTAAGAAGCAAGCTCATTGCTGAGTGGGGAGGGGCAGGCATGTGAGAAGTTGGAGGAAGGCTCAGTTGTTGGGTGGTTATGAATTCGAAGGAGATTAGTTATCCATTTTTTTTTTTTTTTGGACGTCTAATTTTTTTCCCTATAGTCATAATCAGTTACATGAATGTAGATGTGGAATGACTAGATCATAAGATCCAATTGTGTTAGTCTGTTTTCCATTACTGTAATAAATAATGAAGATAATCAGTTTATGAAAAGAAAAGGTTTATTTTGGCTCACAGTTTTCGGGTTTCAGTTCGTGGCCTATTGTGTTGTTTTGGGGCCTGCAGCAAGGCAGCACATCATAATGGAAGTTTATGGTGTAATGAGGCAACTCACCTCATGGCCAGGCAGCAAAACAGAGGAAGGTGAAGGGAGTGCTGGTCCTCTGCCCGCTTCAGGGGTGCACTCCCAGTGACCTGAAGACCTCCTGCCTCTTAAGGTTTCCACTGTTCCCCAGCAGCTGGTGCTTGGGGGCAGGCCTTGGTGTGACATTCTGGATCCAAACTATAGCGTCGGTATATAGTAGTATAAGTTCATTCTTTCAGACTTACAGAAAAGGTACAGAAATGGAATGAGAGTTCCAGTATGCATTCTTTTTATGTGATTCATAATTTTCTCCCTTTGCTCTGTCATCATAGTTTTTCCTTTCCTTAATCCCCTTTTAGCTCATTTGAGAGGAGGTTGGTAAACACTATACTCCTTAACACTACAGAGTATATTTCATAAGAAAAGGCCATTCTTTTATGCTACTCCTACTTCTGTACAGTTTTCTTTCTTTTTTTTATTTTTCTATTTTAGGGAAAGGTCTACAGAGTGTTCAGGGTCTCACTCCTAGATCGGACTCATAGTGATCTGCCTGTTTACAGCCTCCCAAGAGCTGGGATTACAGGGGTGCACCACCATACCCAGTCTCAATTGCTGTCTCAGTGTGCCCCAGAGGTGGGGCCATTATGGCAGGCCTGGGGATCGTACCCCCCGCCCTGTACCTGCTTGCAGGCGCGTGAATCTGCTGTTTGGCTGGCCCACAGTACAGTTTTCAAAGCTTGAAATGTGATGCTGATGCTGTGGCCTGGCTCACAGCTCATAGTCCAAATTTACTAGTGTATAACAAGTCCCCAAGTCTAGGACCATATCAGATCATATGCTGTTGTCAGGGCTGCTGCTGCTTTTTTTTTCTTTTTTAAGTCTTTTTGAGACAGAGTCTCCCAGTGTAGTGCAGGCTGGCCTTGAGCTCACTTTGTAGCCCAGGCTGGTCTCAAACTCTCAGTGATCCTCCTGCCTCAGCCTTCCGAGTGCTGGGATTACAGGCATGCACACCATTCTCGGCCTTGTCAGGGTTTCTTTGAAGCTGGAGCAGGTCCATATCCTTCCCTGGAGTTCAGTTGTCTGTTTGAAGTCTCTTTGTTCATGATTAGACTTGAGTTTTGTATTGCTGGTAGAAGAAAAGCATTAAGATGATTGTATATCTTTCCTCTTGTCGCGTATGTGTATAAAAAAGATGGGGGTGATGTTCTCGGTCACCAGAGCAGTTGTGCTGTGGAAGATTCCGAGCAGGTCCAATTACCTCCCCTTTCCATAGCCTGGGTGATCCATGTGTGTCAGGCAAGCTGCCATTCCCTTGCTGTTCCCACGGTGACCTAGTTCTAGGGTCCTGGGCCTCCATTACAGAGCAGACAGGGCACTGTTAAACTTGCCAGAGTATAGCAGTGCCAAATTAAAGAATTTGGTGTATGCACAGATTTCCCAAAACACACTGTGCACAGAAAAAGGTGCCACTAGTTAATTAAGAAATATCCATCATATGTATTCATATATTGTTCTGCCAGTAAGACTTTAAGTGACTTGAGGCCCTGGATTTGGTGATGGATTAGCTCCTTACTGGGTCTCTAGATGACAGTGCCCAATGCCTGTGAAAATGGTCTTATTTTGCCACTGGATGTTGTGGATGCCTCTTTGGTGGGGTGGCATTGTGAAGCAGAGCTAACAAGGCCTATGCTTTGCTTTTCAGGTAAACCTCCTGCTGTCTGTTCCTAAATAAACAGGCTGGTCAGAAAGTTGGAATGGGCTGAGAAGTCTTACGGCCTGCAGGACTCCTAGGACTCCCACCTAGGATTGTCCCCAAGACCCCTGCCAGCGTGCTGCTCAGAGCTGCCCACAGGAGGAAGCAGAAGCAAAATGTTGAAAAGACAAGTGTTTCCCTTTTGAAAACATCAAAATGCCAAAGATGAATGGATATGTAGTGATCTCATTTAAATGGATATAAGAAATATAAGTTTTTAAGAGGTAGCCAGGAGGAGCTTGAAATCAAATGTTTGTGCAATAAAATAGGTTACAGTGAGTAGTGCTAAGAACTTTATGGAAATACAGCTGAGAAAGCTGCTAAAGGTAAGGTTTGCTAATGCATGAAACACAACACTTTTCACCACTGAGCATTCCACAGTGACTATGTATATATGTATTTTTTGTTTTTAATTTCCATAAACTTTGTTTTGAGATAAGTTCTCACTTTGTAGTTCAGGCTGGCCTTGAACTTACTATGTAACCCAGGCTGGCCTTGAACTTCTGGTGATCCTCCTGCCTCAGAAACCTTATTTCTATATTTAATGTAATATTTCTCCTATTATTTGATGTTTGGTTGGGAGTTGCTTCTGAGAATGTGCATCTTATTTTGCTGAGGATTCAGGGTGTCATGTTCCTGTTTGATGTGAGGGTTTCATGGACAGCTCTAGGACTTGAGCTTGGACTGCTATTGTGCAGAACATTCAAAGCAGGGAGCCATAGCCTCTTGCTGTAGGCAGGCATAGTTCTCCCACAGGGATCCTTATGGTACAGCCGTCAGTGAGGTGAGTGCGAATTATGAATTAGGGTGTCTTCACGCTTACTTATAAAGGAGAGGAGGAAACCTGATAAGTGGCTGGTCTCTTGAGTGCTCCTGAATGAAGCTTAGTTCTGGTCCTTTTGCAAGCAGCCTCTTTGTTTGCAGCTGCTGATTGTAAAGTGAACACTTTGATGTGCATTCCAGTTGTCCAGCAGCCTGTGCTGTGCTGTGCACCAGCCTGGTGGGCCTGCAGCCCCACTACAGCAGAATACGTTTTGCCAACACACATAGGACAGCAAACACTGCCCATGTCTTAGAAGCACCACACCCCAGCAGGGATCACACGCGTGAGGCCCCATAGCGAGTTCCCTACAGATCCCTCCCTCTTTAAATTTGGAACTAGATTGATTGTGCCTCTGATGTTGTAGTGGTAAACAGCGTGTGGCTCTTGTTTCAAAAAGAGTTCCGAATTCCTTAAACCCTGGTATGAAAATGGGATGGACACTGCCTAGGCTGTGGAGGAGCCCGCGCCTGTTGGTGCAGGCGGTATCTGTGTGCCTGTGCTGCCCACGTGTGCAGCGCGGCTCTTCAAGGTGTGGGCGGTTCCATGCTGGTGTCTGTAAGAGTTCCCTTTTTTACCACCTTCATTTCGGCGGTGGATATTGCTTGGTGGAACTTATTACTCATGTTTTGAGAAAGTGAAAGGTAAGAGGGCCATATTTTTTTTGCCTTGAAGTGAATGAATTGAGATTGTATTTACTTCTTAGTGTTTTCAATACACGTTTGTAAGATATTGTAAAATATCTGCTTTTGTGTATTATATGTACATTTGGTTTTTAAGTAGCCTTTCCAAAGAAATGAGGGCATGATTATTGTACAACAATGTAACTGGTGTAGTTTGATGTACAGAGCAGAGTGTGTTCTTCAGGATAAAAATACTTAATGGCACTGTTTTTGTGTTTTGATCTTTTGTTTCTGAAACACTCAAACACCTTACTAAGTGCTAAGTAGGTGATAGTGACCCACCTAGTTGCTAAGTGAATATCTGTCTAAATCTGTACAGTTTTAGGTATTTACTTATACAGAGAGTGTACATACTTTCAAATAATTAATTTAAAATACTTTATATTATTTGATGAGAAATTGTTTTTAATAAATGAATTTCTAAAAAAATAAAGATTTTGCTATTTTCTTGTGTCTGATACTTGTTTGGATTCTTTTAAAGATTTTTTTCATTGAAGTTTTTATTGAGAGAATTTGTAGATCCACACACAGAGGAATCTGTGTGTCCTTCATCTGGTTTGCCTAGCGATAATATCTTGCAGACTGGAGTGCAGAATTATAATGAGGTTGTGGTGCTGATCCACAGCACCCCAGCCTTCCTCACATTTCCCCCTTTTTAATGTATACTGCATAATTCCTCTGGCAAGGTAATTCTTGTGAGAAGACATTTTAGAACCATCTTAATATTTCATTAATTAAAAGACTTTTATTAAAAATTTATTTTTAAAGAATATTAGAGATAAAGAAAAAGCGTTAGAAACAAAAGATTTCACTAAAAGTAATAATTCAATATTGCTGTATTACATGATGCTATGTTCAGATTAGTTGTTCACATTACTAGATATAAATGTGTGTAAGATTTGTTTAAAAAAAAAAAGCCCCTAAAAGCAATACCAAGTTGTAAGAAATTCAAGAGGAAAAAAAAGTAAAAAACCAAAAAAGTTAAGCATTAACTGCTCCAAAAGATGAATAGAATCCGACAATACAATTATCTAAGCTATTCTACATAAATACCCAAATGTATCTTTTTCCCTTCTTAAATTTGTCATTTTCCTCACCGCCATTTTTCCTTCCCATTGAACAATTTCCCTTTCACAGTATCTGCTGTACCTTTTAGATTTTCTTTTTCTTTTTCTTTTTTTTTTTGAAGTTAGATTTTTTTTTTGTTTTGTGGAACCAGGGATTGAACTCAGGCCCTTGTGCTTGCCAGGGAAGTGCTTATTCTACTGAGCCATTTCCCCAGCCCCTAGATTTTCATTACTTTCAAATTCTTACTAGCAAGATAATACAGTGTTTGTACATGTGGATCTGATTTATTTCACTTACCAATATAGACTCGAGCTGCATCCATTTATCTACAAAAGCCTCGGGTTTATCTAAAAGACTGTAGTCAGCTTTCCATTAACTGTAATAAATACCAGAGGTGGCTGGGCTTGGTGGTACACACCTGTAATTCCAGCACTCAGGCTGAGGCAGAATTGTTGCAAGTTTGAGACCAGCCTGGGCTACAAATTGAGCTGAAGTCCAGCTTGAACTGCATAGTGAGACCCTGTCTCAGAAAGACCTAAATAAATAAATAAATAAATAAATAAATACCTAAGGTAAATTAACTTACAAAGAGGAAAGGTTGGGCTGGTGACATAGCTCAGTGCACTAGGTACCTGCTTAGGCAAGTGCAGGGACTGGGGTTCAATCCCCAGCACCACATGCTGTGCTGGCCCCACCTCCGGGCATGCTGAGCTGGCCACCGAGAGGTGCATGCCTGTGATACCACTGCTGGGGAGGCTGAAACAGGAGGATCACTACAAGTCCAAGCTGTGTAGTGAGACTCTGTACCAAATATGTTAAAAACAACTAAAAAAAAGGTTTAATTTGGCTCACATTTTCGGGCTTCCCCTTTGTGACTGATAGACTCTGTTGTGCCTGAGGTAGTGCACCATGGCAGGCAGTGTGAGGTAAAGAGCTACTCGCCTCATGACTGGGAGGTGGTAGAGGAAGAGGCGTGTGTGGCCTGGGGTTCCACTGTTGCTCAGCACACACCACCAACAGGAAGACCACCCACTACCCCACTCCCAGTGAGGTTTCCTCCATCTCTCAGTAACACCATGGGCCTTTGGGGGAAGATTCCATATCCAAACTAGCAAAACAGTGTTTTTGTTTTGTGGCAAAATTGCGAGCTTCCTGAGTACTGACAGTGCAGATAACTGTGTTGAAATATAATATTGTAGTAAAAGTAAAACATCTTGAGTGTGGGCATAATCCCAGCTACTCAGAAGATTTAGGCAAGATTACAAATTTGAGGCCAACATGGGTAACCCCTGCCTCAGATTTGAAAAGGGCTAGGACTGTAGCCGAAAGGTTAAGAGTGCTTTCCTGGTGTTCACAAGGCCCTGGGCTTCAATACCCAGTACTGCAAAAACAACAAAAACCAATCCCCCCCCACCCCCGTTTAACAAGTCCATATCTTTAAATTTGCTTCTTTTACCTTATTAGTAAGGCAAAATAGCCAACCTTAGTTCTTAAAAGGGGGTTGTCAGTTAAAACGAACCTGGGGATGTTGATAAGAGATCTCAAAAAGGAGGGCTTTCGCTGCTTCCTCCTTTGGAGTACTACTGTGAATGTTCTTTTGTTGCTTGTCTATCTTCAGTCTCTCAGCGTGGACACCAGTGAAAGGGAAAGTGATTGCTGAAGACTTGTACATGATACTCGCTTGCATAGCTGGACATGGCACACTTCTGTAATCCTAGCACCCTAGGAGGCTGAGGCAGGAGGATTTTTATCTCAGTCAAGCCTGCGCAACTTAGACTGTCCCAGAAAATAAAAAGGGCTGGGGATGTAGCCCACTGCACAGGCCCTATCTATGTTCAATCCCCAATACTGGGGAAGGTGGGTAGTCATCCACTAAGTAGACGTATTAAGTATACAGGTTTTTGGAAATAGTTTGCAATTGTACACATATGCTCACTGTTAGATATTACTTTAGTGCTTGATTTTTAAAAAAAAATAATACAGGGTCTACAGGGTCTCACTATGTAGATCAGACTTGTACTGATCCTCCTGTTTTCAGCCTCCCTCGCGCTGGAATTTCAGGTGTGTGCTACCACACCCAGTCTCATTCACTGTCTCAGCATGCTCTGGAGGTGGGGCCAGCACAGCATACTGGGGATTGAACCCCCGTCCCTGGCGCTTTAATCTACTGAGCTATCTGGCTGGCCCTGTTGCTTTATTTTTAGTGTAAAATATAAATTATAAATGAGCCCTCAAATTGTTACTAGTGTTTGCCATGTAACGTTTAGTTTTTTAAAATATGTATTCTAAAATTTCTTTACAATATTGAGCTCTTGTACACATTTTAAAATCAAGAAGGTTATAATTGTCAGTCTGTATAAACAATCTTTTGCTGAACTTTTTTTTTTTTTTTTTTTGGTGGAACCAGGGATTGAACCCAGGCCCTTGCACTTGCCAGGCAAGTGCTTATTCTACAGAGCCATCTCCCCGGCCCCTTGCTGAACTATTTGAAAGCTATGAAGTCATGCCATGTCATCCTAAATACTTTAGGATCCATGCCTTTTTACAAAATTCCCACTACCATAAGCACACCTAGTAAATAAGCCCAGTATCTGCTAGGTAGCTCATATTGCAGCTTTCTCATGTCTCTACCCTGTGAATACTTTACTATGTTGTTACATCTGTTCAGTCCCTTTTCAGTTTGACTAATCAACTTACGGTTTTTATTTGCTTGTTTTCATGATGTTGACTTTTTTGTTTTTGAAGAAGTTTTTGTTTTACTCAAAGACGCCAGGTAATACAATGAACCAGGTAAATACAATTCCTGAGTTTCCCAATTAGTAAATCCAGAATACCCCCAAATTGCAGGATACATGCTTATAAACACTTGGAACATTTACCTAGATAAACACATATGGGGCTATTAAATATAAACCAAAAGAGTCCCTTAAATTTTTTTTTTTTTTTTTTTTTTTTTTTTTTGTGTGTGTGTGTGTGTGTGGCTGGCTCAGCCCACCCTACAGGCCAGGCTGGCACAGCATGTAGTGCCAGGAATCGAACTGCAGTCCCTGCCCATTTGCCTAAGCTTGCCTAGGCAGGTGCTTTAGACCCCTGAGGTATCTCATTGGCCCCTCCTCAAATAATTTGTAACTGTATCTCTGCAAGCAGGGCTCCTTCTCCACTCTGTCCCCCACCAGGGTGTATGTCGCAACCTCTGAAGACATTTAGATTGTTTCGACATGCGTGTGTGTGTGTGTGTGTGTGTGTGTGTGCATGTGCATGCGTGTGTGCCTGCGATACTGGCTCCTAGTGGGTAGAGAACAGAGATGCTGCTGAACATACTTCAATGCTAGGGCAGCTCCCACAAGAAAAAGCCCACGATGTTAGCAGTGCCAGGGTTGCAGCGCCTTGCTGTCTAAGTGGAATAGCATCTCCGCAATTCCCAACTCCTGACAACCAGCTGGCCTGGCCGCCCTGGTGTCCTCATACCTGACATATGATCTGTTTTGCTTGATGTTTTTTGCCAACCCACCTTGGAAGCTCCATGGCACAGCAACTTTGTGTCTCCAGTAAACTACAAGAATGACTCCTGCTGCTTGTAGGTGCTCAGAAACAATGTCCTCCAAAATGGTCATTTGTAGGGCAAGTGTCGCGCAGCCTTCCTCTCCCAGTCCCATTCCCACCAAGTTCTGCCTGTTCTTCCCACATATAGTAGCTCTGATTCCTGCCACTTCTGTTTCCAGTGTAACTTCCGGGGCAAGGTTCTCATGTTCAGTATTCCTTGCTGGAGCTCCAGAGGTATCTTTACTACCAGAGCCCAGTAACACTTCCTATCATTGCAGGAATATAAAGCTGTGAATCCTAATCACACAGGGACTTGGTTGGCCCCTTCTACTGCTCATTCATGATGATCCTTGAGTACAGGCAAGGGAAAACCTCACTAGCATGAACAGAGAGGAACTAGAGGATGGACCAGAGATGGAAGAACACGGGGGATGAGAGCAGGAAGCAGCACACGTGCAGATTTGTCTTTTGCCCAAGGCATTGGTGCAGACTTGCAGGTGAGACAGGGCTGGACCAGACCTCACCTTCCTCCTCCCGGCTGTGCCTCCTGCTGTAGTTGTGGCTGTCTGTGCTACACTAAGCGCTGAGCGGCGAGGAGGGTCTCCTTAGCCACAAGTTCACTCTGCCATCGCAGATTCTGGGGCTGCACCTGGTGATGGTTTTCCTTTCCCAGCTGGGGCAGTGTTAAGCTTTGTAGGATGCTGGGGTCCATTTCATAGGGAAGGAGTCTCTGGCTCTGGTGTGTGGCTTCCCTTCTGTGCTGTTTATTGAGCAGAGGCAGGATGGCGCACCAAGTTGCTCTTCGATGAGCTCCCCACAGCTCAGAAAAAAAGTAGAAGCAAAAACAGAAAAAGAGTATGGGAGGGCAGAGGGAAAGAGTGTGCTGTGCTGTTTGCTGCTGTTTTCTTAAAGAGTTTTTACCACTGTGTTAACTTGTTAACGTTATTTACATTTTCCTCCTCCTGCCTACTGACAGGACCTTGACTCATACAATGTTTTTTAGTTTCTATAGTTTTACTGCCTGTTAGATTCATTCTAATGGGAGAGTCCATTCTATAAAGGGAGAATTGGGGGTAGAGGGGCTGGGCAGCCAAAAGAGATACTATCTAACAAACTCAAAATGCCATATCCTTACTCATGTCTGGCTCTCAGTATCTCTGCAGAGGCCCTTGCCTCTCACTGGAGTTCCCAGCATGTCCCGCTGCTGTTCATTCTGCAGCTCTACCCAGGAAGAGGTTCTTGTGACTCAGCTCTCCCCATAGGTTCTCCCTTGGTTCCATTCTACTGTGTCCTCCATAAAACTACAATTTCGTTGTTTCTTTCCAACTCTATAAATCCTTCCTACTCGCCACTCCCCATCTCACCCTGGCCACCAGCTATACACAGTCTTCTCGGTCTGCTCAGCACATGGTAGGTGCTTTGTTGGATGTCCTAATTAAATACTGAAGAGACCATTTTGGAGGGCATTGGTAGGAGCTCCATGTACCTTGGAGCATATACTCATGAATTACCCTTCAGGAAATCATTGAACCTACCAGTTTAGTATGGATACATAGCCAAATCTACTTCATTTGCATTTCTAGAAGTGCCTTTTTTTGGCCAGGCCAATGAAGATAAAATGATACTGAGCCAAGGAGGATTTTTTCTTTTGGAAATGTTGGCCTGAGAGAAGGCAGGGGTGTGAAGCAGATGTTGTCAAGAGATGAATTGTGGCCACATGAGGCCTACCAAAGTTCTTACACCAAAATCCTAACCCCTAGTACCACAGAATGAGACCTTATTTGGAAATAAAGTATTTGCAAATGTAAGATGAGGTGACACTGGTGGAGAAGCAGGGGAATCCAAGACCAGAGCCATTTCTGCCTTCTACCCACCCTGTGTCCAGGTGTTGCTTTGGTGACCCCAAGTCAGGAGGCCCAGCCCTGGAGGCTGATAGGGAGTTGTGCAGAGGTAACACAGCTTGGTGTTAGGGCTAAGTCCCCACAGCTCCTTGGGGCAGGATGAGGGTGAATTCTGTACGAAGTGGAATCTTAGCAGCAGCATTTGGAGGTGGGCTTCAGCCTGGGATAGGGGGTCGTAGAAAACCCCATGTTGTCATCGGAATGGTTATCAGGTAGTCAGGTAGGTTGGGACCCCAGTCTTCACTGGCACTAACTAGTATGGAATCTTGAGTCAGGCATTTAATCTCTTTTCCTCAAGAAAATGCTGTCCATGTCACAGCATTTGTGACAGCACTTGTGAGCCCTGTGAGGCCTAACTTGTGTAGTATGTAGCCCAGGTTCGTAATTTGTTTGAAAGCAGTGAGTACCATAATGAGAAAGGTGAATGAACTCTTTCTGGAAAACTAGGGAAATGCAGACGTGCACCTAGCAAAGTACATCTGACAGACACCTTGGAGCTGCTCTGGAGTGAAGGGAGGGACTGAGATGGTCGGCATGACACTCACCAATAATTTCTAATGGTGAGCCACTGTTCTAGCAATGAGGCATGCACGAACTTGTTCACTGCTCCCAGCGCTGTGGTGGGGGCACTATTTCTAGGCATTTTACAGCTACGAAAATGGAGGCCTAAAGCTGCTTGCCCAAGAGCACACAGTCTATAAGGGGCCGAGCTGGACAGTCTATCCTCTGAGTCAGGGAAGGTACTGTCAGCTGCAGAAGAACTTCTTTTTTTTGGACAGAAATTAACTTTTAATAAGAATATTGCCAAGTCTGTATTATCATACAAAGCATCTAGAAGATGTCATACAATAACTATTCAAACTTTTGGGCAACAAATGAAGAAAAAGTAATTCTGAAAGTCTTTGGTTTTCCGAGCCTTGCAAAAGAACTTCTGAAGCGAGCATAGGAGGAGGCAGGGCAGGTATTGCCATGTGTTGTATGTTGCAGTAACCCTGCACCTCCAAAGCTGTCGGGCCAGAGGTAACTATTGTCTTTATGCTCAGTCACAGATTTGGTCAGCCCTGAAAAATCTTATTTGTTTTCTCCCCAACCAAGGAGCTGTGACAGGTCTTAAATTATAAACCAAGTCTCCAATGACATAAACAGGTCTTTGGGGTTTTCCATGAAGTTCCTGGGAACTTGCTGTTCCCAAGACATTCAGTAGAGGCTGGGTAAAGCCTGGGAAAATTTGGTGACTGTCGGAAAGTCAGACTTGAGACTTACTCTTTGCCAGACTCATGTTCACTTTCCACATTGTGGTGGCTTTGATGAAGTCTTCCAGGTCAGGAACGGTCAGGAGATTCAAGATCCCATTCATTTTTCCCAGAAGGATCTTGATCTTCCAAGCTGTTGGGCCAGGTACCACCTCTAGGGCTGCTGTCTTTTTCATGTTGCTCAGCACTTCTGGGTTTATGAACTGTGGGATTCACAGAAGGCCAGGTGAGGACCACGGCTGTCTGGGCTCTGCTCCCGCTACACAGGAATGGCGGCCTGCTGCCAGGGCAGGTCTTCCCGGGAACCTGTGCCCTCGAGGGCAGAACCATTTCTCTAGCCTACTTCTAGCAGCCTTTCTGCTGCATCCCCACACTCTGGCCACTGCTTGTGACTGTGTGCACAGGGCAATGTGGGCCGAGGCCACATGCCGGCTCAACCCCACACCAGAGTGGAAGGTGGCCTGGCCATGAAGGCGGTGCTGTCTCTGGGGCTGAGCTTCTTGCCTATGGGTTCTAGGCCTCAGGGCTGGGTCAGGGAACTTCCAGGGCTCAGAGACCTCACGTGCCCACTGACGAGCCCCACTTCTACCTGAGAGTCTGTCTGGTTTTGTTGAGATGAGGCCTTGCCCCAGTGAGGCGGTCTCAGTGTCACCCTGTGCCTTTGTGGCCTGTAAAAGGTTCATAAAAAGTCTTGTGAAGAGGATATGATAAAGAACAAATAATATAATCATGTAAAGGTAACAAATTTCCTTGATAAATGCAATCATAATATATATCTACATTGTACTAAAAAACTTAAAAAATAACATTTTGTAAAGCTAAAAAGAATAATACCAGCATGCCCTATTTCTGTGAGGTCTCCTGATGATGACATGGCTTCACCCATGGTAGCATTCCTGGGCTGTACAATTAGCTGGCTGTCTAACAGAAGGCAGCAGGCCAGCTCTGACCTCTCCTGTCTCTGTGACTCTTTCTATTTGTGCTGGCTCGCTCCATCTCCCTCTAGGGGTGCAACTCCCCTCCATGTCCCAGGGCTCTTAGGCCTCCTGATCTTCCTGTCCATGCAGCCTTTTTCTGGGTTCTCTCTCCCTTTCCTGGACCTCATCTCCTGGGGAAACCCACTGCTATTTACAGACCAGAGGCCCAGGCAGGCCCCTGTGCCCTTTCCAGATCTGACCGCTCCCCCTGAAGCTTGTGACTGCTGAGGCAAGAGTGTGAATAGGCAAGTCAGTAGAGCTGGGTTCAGCTACTGGAAGAAATCCACATGGGCAGGGATGTTAGGACACCACTATTCAGCTTGAAAAATGTGGCTATGTCAGAAAGGGACCCAGGATACCAGCTGGTCAAGGCTGCTTGGAACATTCCTGGGGTTAGCATTCAAAGTTCCACATCCCGGGAAACACTTAGTCCTGAACAAATGGGCAGCTGGTCACTCTAATCCTACATTTTCGCTTCTAAAATAATATTTACGCAGCTTAATTTTTCTAAAGTTGGCTATTGGACTTCTTCCTCCAGCTGCCTCGTCTCCCAAGAGACATGTCTGTATCTACTTAGCTGTCTCCACTGACTGCCTTTCTAGTGGGGTCTGTGGATGGAGCCTTACCTGTGCAGTGGGGAAGGGGAGGTGGAGCACGAATAGGGCTATGTTCAAGTCTCAGCGGTGGCCTCTTTATTCCTTTCCTTACCTCTGGTCCCTAGGAAGCATCTCAAGAGTCCACCCTCTTCCCCTACCATGATGATACCTCCAGGGGTCCAGACTTGCCATTAGTATTGTCTTGAATTATTCTCCCACGAGGATACAGCCAAGTCCTAAACTGCTGTACCTGTGCATATGACCTTCACTGATGATGAAGTCTTTTCCTAAGTATCTAAGGTAATTGCAGATTCAGAATCAGATCATCCTAGATTAGGGTGGGCCCTAAATCCGATGACCAGTATCCTCATGAAAGAGGAGGAGGAGATTTGGCAGAAAGGGGATAGATGAGGAGGATGCAGGCAGAAATTGGAGCGGTATAACTATAAGCCAAGCATGCCTGGGATGACCAGAATCTGGGAGAGGCAAGGATGGGCCCCTTGGTCAGAGCCTTTGGATGATGTCAGATAGTTCATCCTCAGAACTGCGAGAGAATAATCCTTTGTTGTTTGAAGCCTCCTGATTTGTGCAATCTGTTATGGTGGCCCTAGGAAACTAGTGCACGGAGACTACTTTCCTGCTCGGCCCAGGCAAAGCACACTGGATCTTCAGTGACTGCTTGGGGCTGAGTGTTTAGGGTGGACAGCAGCAGAGTGACCATCCTTGGCTGTCAGGCTGGGCCTTCCATGGCCAGGCTGATGTGACTCTGAGGTGAGGCAAGGCAAGTGACGTCTCTGTTTTTCTGTCTGGCTTATAATGAGCTGAGGATGTCAGCTCAGTTAAAGGAAGGTGGCCTTGCATGAGCCACAGTCTGTATGTAGGTGGGTGTCTGGGCCCACAGAGGGTAGAGAAAATCAAGGCCTTACCTTGTATTTAGTGCCCAGATTTAAACAAACCCACTTCTGATCATGGAAGTAGCAGAAGAGGATCTGATCTTGGCTTCTTATTTGCACCTGGATGTACTTGTTGACTTTCAAGGAGATACACTTGATAGGGAGCTCGTGGATGTGGATCCTCAGATCCCACCAGTTCCAGGCCTTCTGGGGCCGGCCTTTGGGGAAGTAGTGGCCCAGGCTTCTGCTCAGGTTCAACCTGGACTGAGAGGTTATGTTAGGCAGCTGTAGTGCTGGGCCCTGGGCCCCATGGCAGAGCAGGGCCCAGAGCTGTGGCTTAGCCTCACTTCTATACACTTTTCAGTCCCTGGGTCACACATACTCTTCCTTGCTTGTAACTTCTCCGTGCTAAGGTCTCCTGCCCTTCATGCATGGCTGGCAGGCTGCACCTCCTTCAAGTCTCACCTTCAATGCCCCCTTCTCAGAGGGGCCCCTCTAGCTCTCTGACGATGATCTATAGACCTCCCCATTAGCTTCCATGACCTGTGTAGCTATGCACGTATTGTCTCCCAGAGCAATGGGGTCATTGTTGGCTAATCCAGTATTTTCAGTGTTGTTATAAATCCAGACTAAAGATGAACTCCTAGAGGCAGGACCCGTGGAGATCTGGCTACTCAGGTCCATGCCAGCACCTTGGGCACAGTGCCGAGTGAGGGTGGGTGGGCGGATTTCTCCTCAGCCGTCCATAATTTATGGGGGCCTGCCTGCCTTCTAAACCTTTCTTTCAGCAGCCCGAGTTGCCTAATGGATAAGGCATTGGCTTCCTAAACCTTTCTTTCCTGGCCCTTCAAACCCCATGTATTTCTTCATCACTGGGCCTAACCTGTCCCACTGTACTCTTCTTCACCTGCCCAAGAGGTTGTACGTTCAGTGATGAATTGCAAACCTGGGCTTGAGCCAGATGTTCTCAGTTCAAAGCCCAGCACTGCCACTAGCAAGCTGCGTGACCTTTGACCATTACTGAACCTCTCTACACCTCAGTTTCCACAATTGTAAAATGCAAGTAATAGTACTTTCCTCATAGAGTTGTATGGGGATCAAACGCCCATCCTGGGAGCAACTCAGTAGAAATTAGAATTTCCTTACTGTCGGGAACCGAGGGGAAAGGAGAGAGGAATCTTATGTGAGCCTGCAAGGAGCAGATCCCTACTGGCTTTTTACTCCTTGAAGTGGCTGCCGACAGAGTTCTTGTGTGGGATTAAAATCTTTCCCTGTCTGAGTACGCGGTTCTGGGCTAAAGGTGCCAGAGACAAGGGGTCTAGAACATTAAGTGCATTGGGACTGGAGGCTGTGCCACCAGGAGCGAGGGCCCTGTGCTGTGGAGAGGGGAGACCATGGAAATCGGAGACCTCAAGGCGCCTGTGCTCTGTCCAGCAGTGAGAAGCAAGGGCAATAAAAATGACAGTGATGTCTTTGAAGGGTCCTACTCTGCTTTAGGGGCAAATGGGAGCAACAAAAGAGGGGAAGGACTGGCTGGATGGGACACTGTGTGGGCCACGGGCCAAGACTTATGAGGCCCACTCTAGCCTGACTGCCAGCTTGGAAGACTGAAATTCACTGGCACTAAGCCTGCCTCTTTTGGGCTCTAGGGAGGAGCTCAGGTTCGAAAGGGAAGCAGCCAGCATTTCTCTTTCCTGACAGCCCATGAGCAAAGTTTCTGAAAATCTTCCAAAAGCACACAGGTCTCAGGCCCAAGGAAAGCAATGGAGTTGAGAAATTGGGGTTCTTGGAACTCCACTGGCTACTGGCCAGAGATTGAGCCTCTGAAACAAGATTGCTTTGGGGAACAGGGCCTTTAGGCCCGAGGTAGCTGCTGCCCTGAGGATCAATGCCTGAGCCACTCCCTTACAGAGCAGAGGCCTTCCCAGAGCCCCAGAAATAATCAGCACACTCGCAGCCCACTCCTGAAACAGAGGCGGCTTTAGGGTTGCTTCTGAGGATTCTGATGAGGGGAAGTGGGGTCTCCTACCCTTGGAGTGTTTGTCTTTGTCTTAGATCCTCGGGTGGGTGTCACAGCCTTGGGGGAAAGGACACTTAGAGGCATGAGCAATGTGTCAGGTGCACATTGGCCTGGCTGCTGGCCCTGCTGAGGTGCAGAGTGACCTGACACACATTTACAGAATGTAAATCTCCAGGCTTGGCCCTGCCCTTCAGAGCTGGGATCTTGACTTTGAGTTGCCCTAACCCAATCCGAAATTAGGCCAGCTGGTGCTCTGAGCAGTCTCGATCCTCTTGGGTTCTGTTGGGCCTTGGGATATGGGGATAAGATAAATTATCTTTCTATACCTCACTTTATGCTTTTTTTTTTTTTAATGATTTTTAAGGCTGAATCAAAATGGCATAAAATTTCTTTCCTACAATTTTCTTCTGTATGATTCAGCTTATATGATTTATCCTCTGAACCTGTTTGTTTATCAATGAAAAGATTTCTCTAAATTTTCTATCTCATTGCTATTTGTTTCTCAATAAAATTATGGAAAAATAAATTTTCTATTGGAACATTGCCAAAAACTATTTAAGATAAACCAAACTTCTTGTCCCACTCCCACTTCCTGTATCCAGGATGAGATTTTTTAGGCAGTATTTTTCCATACTAACAGCCCTTAGAGGAGAGCACAGAACTTTTAGAACTAGGAAGTTGTGACCATTTTAAAAATCCACTGGGAAATGGTGTTTAAAATACCCATGAGTGAAGAAAAATTTTTTACAAGCCAAGGCTTAGAGGGAAAATTTTTTTTTAGAATAAAAAGAAATTAAGTTTGGCTTTGATAATCAAGTATAAGTTGATCCAAGATAGTCTGCGACTCCTGTGCCACAGTGGAAGGGGAAGCCTGAATGGAGATGCCTAGATCACCTCAGAGATGAGGAAATTGTCTGAAGCGACCAGTTAGTTTGTGTTGGTAAGGTGAGGCTTTCCACTATCACCAGCTCTGGGAACCTAAGAGTTTCCTTGATTATAATGAAGTACTTAGAAGTTGCCTTGTTGACCGTGGCTTCTGTACACAGTACGTGCGTCTCTGTAGCCCTCACCACCCTGCCTCAAGGCCCCTGGGTCTTCTGGGGTAATTCCCAGGAAGTGTGACCCTGGAGAGGTGCTTAGGCAGTGCAGCCAGCAGGCCGTGGTTGCTGAGCCTTGCTGGCTCTTTTGTCCTCGCATAGGCCATGGTGCCATGAGGATCTTGACCAGTCTCTGAAGGAAGGGCCTGTCCTATAAGTTTCTCATGGTGCCCTTTCTCTGGTATCCAGTGTGAGAGAGTTACGAAACAGGGAAGGAGGAAGGCAGTGTAGGTTGGGGATCAAACTTTCACCACATTATTCCTCCGTGAGCTCATCGGGATACTGGGGACTCAAGCTTACCAGATGTCTCCATTTTCATCAAAGAAGGTGGCCTCGCCAGAGTTGTTGATGAGGGCCTGAACTCTCATTTTCCTATCATCTTCCAGAATGACGTATACGAACTTTTTAACACCGGTGCAGGCGATGAGCACCGCCAGGTTTCCTGATGGATAGCTGAGAGATGGTTAAGGCACTGAGAATCCCTTGGGACCTACCTACTGAAAAAGGCAGAGGACATAGTCCTCAGCCAAAACCTGCATGCCAACCCCAAACCACAGACTTGTGCCATGCCAATCTGTGCCTCTGTGAGCATCTCTCTGCTATAGTGGATACTGTATCTGGCCTGTCCCATCAGGAAAGAGAATTTGGAAGATGTTCTTGTTGGAGTAGAGAATTAGCTTTCCATCACCTTGATGTACCTAGGAAGGAAGGACAAACCTATGTGGAGTGCGCAGGCGCCAGCTGCACTCCCTGAGTGTGATCTGCTCATGACAGCACTGGGAAGGAACCACATGATGTCACACTGATGATCCCACCCAACTTGCTGGGGAACACTGCGCACCTGCCTCCATGAGGAGAGGCTGACAAGGTGAGCTGGGGAAGGGGCACACTGTGCTCCAGTATGACAACCTTTGTACTCAGGGCCTTTGCCCTGAGCTGCATCTCAGCCTTTTAAAAATTTTTTTTTTTTTTTAAATTTTGAGACAGGATCTGGTTAAGTTACTAAGCTATCTAACTCAGGTCAAACTTTCAGTCCTTCTGCCTTAGCCTCCCAGAGTGCTGAGATTACAGGTGCGTGCCACAGTGCGTGGCTGCTGACCTCACCACCAGTCCCATCAGGAAAGAGAATTACATCTGTGAAAGTCCTATTTCCAGACAAGAAAATATCCTGAGGCACCAAAGTTAGGATTTGAACATATCTTTCTTTGGGAACACAATTTAACGCATAACATTGACATATTCAAGTTGTAATATTTTTTTCTTAAATTAGATTAAGTTATGTTTTTGTAGGAAATTGTTCATTTTATGTAAAATTTTGAATTTATTGTCATAAATATTTTGTCATATAGTTAAAACTGTGGCTGTACTTATGTCCCTATTTTTAGTCTTTATGATAGTTATATTTCACGGGTGATTTTCTATACTGGGAATCAAACTCAGGACCTTGCCCTTGCCAGGCAGGCGCTTGTGCCACTGAGCTATATACTTGGTCTGTATTTTACATTTTCTGAATCAACCTTGCCAGAAAGTTTGCCAACTTTAGTACTGTTTTCAAAGAACCAGTTTATGATTTGCTTATTCTATTATTTCTTTGCTTTCTACCATGCTCAGTTTTGCTTATTATTACCATTTGTAGCCCTCCGCCTTCTGTGGGTCTTTTGTGTTATCCTGTTTTTCTACTTCTGTGACTCGGACCCTGAGCTAATTGGTTTTGGTCTTCTTCATGATTCTCCTCCTCCTTTGTACGAGCAGTGAAAGCTATAATGTTCCTCTCAAAATACCGAGTCACCTGTTTCCCAGGAGTTAGCCTTTCATTTTTTTTTTTAGATGTGAAAATGTCTTTATTTTAGAAAGTGAATTCCAGGAAGGTTAAAAAGCAATACCAGAGGACATAGGTGCACAAATGGATGTAGTCAGTCGTTGAAAGCATTTAAGTAAGAATATGGCAATATAACTATCAAAAAAGCATGACTTAGGTGTTCCAAGCAAAACATGTAAATCATTCCTAACTTGAGCATTTCCTAGACAGGGAGGAAACAATTAACATTTAAAGTCTGGAAAGCATTTTCCTTGATTAATTATATTAGGTGGATTGTTTGCCTTTGATCAAAGTCAAATTCTTTTTTTCCCCATAATTTTATTGAGAAACAAATAGCAATGACAGTTTCAAATCAAATTAGTAGGACAGTTTTAATAATTAACACATTGCATACTGTCTTCCTAGTGGTTATTTGTTGTACAGGATGCAGACATGATATCAAAGTCAAATTCTTTTAAACATTATAAAGTATTACACAGGTCCACTATTAAAACAGACAACATGGAGTAAGTTAATTCTGGTGTAATGTATTCCAACAAAACTTAGAAAATAAAGATGCTGAGGTGGCTCTAGACTGATTAGTAGTCCTCTCCTCTGCTGACAACCTCTCTACACAGCAGGATGGTGTTTTCAAACTGTGCTGTGTATGGCCCTTTAATGTCACACAGTGGTGGGTATGGGTCTACAATGCCCACGTTACACAGATTCTTCAGTGCCATCAAGTATTTACATTCTCTTAGGCAATCCAGGCATTGGCGGTAGAAGGCGAGTGTGCTAAAGTTTTCATTATTGACATTTAACAAGTGTTTTGTTCTTGGAAGCCTTATTGACACATGTCCAACATCAAAATTTTTCATATAATGTGAATACTCCATGTCGTCATGAACAACACTTTTCCTGTACTACCAATGGCATACACTTCCCCTTCCTCAACCATGTTGCCTCCCTGCCCTTCATGTTGGACATGATTTTCCCCACATGTATTCTGTACTGCCCAATTGTGTGTCCATTCAGATTATGGATCGGCTTCACTTGGTATGTCTTCCCGTCGATTTCCACTTCTTAGGATTACACTACTTTTTAAATGGCCTCACCCACATCACACAGTGCCAACACACTTTATTCCAGTATTAGTGGCATCTTTTACAGCTTTTAATAATAGGGATTAAAAGTGACAGTAAAAGGGCCAGGGAGATAGCTCAGTAAATAAGGGTTTGCCTGCCAAGAGCAAGTGCCTGAGTTCAATCCCTGGTTCACAGAAAAGACCTAGAATAGCAAAGGCAATCCTGGGCAATAAAGACAAGGCAGGAGGCATTACAATTCCTGATTTGAAATTATACTACAAGGCTACTGTGATAAAATCAGCATGGTATTGGCAACGAAATAGACCTGAGGATCAATGAAATAGATTAGAAGATGCTGAAGCCCCTACACTCAGCCACATTATCTTTGACAAAGTGGCCAGACATACTCACTGGAAGAAAGATA